TTTATTATTAACTTAACTTTTAATTCAATTAATTTCATTATGGGTTAACTTGTATCTTAACTAAGTTAAATTTTCAAGACTGTTAACTTAAACTTAACTTAGTTACAACCCTGTATAATACATGATTTTTTTCCATTCACTTTTATCGCATCATTCTTAAACGATCATTATTTTGTGTCAAGAACTTCACGTATATTATATTTGATGGAGGTTTACTTATGATAGGAAAGAGCTTTTGTTAGTTTACATACGACGTCGCCTTCGAAGCGAATCCGATATGCATCGATGATTTGCAGAAGCTCTTTACTTTGGTGAAGGTCGTGTACGCTATGTTGGTGATCACCCTGCTGCTGATGATGTGGGCGTCCGTGGCGTGGATGCACGAGCTACCGGTCCAATATCCGCCGTGTTTCTTTAATCCGCTCTGCACTTGCTCGAAAGCCATACCGGATCTCGGCATAGTGGCATGTTACAATGTACCGATGCCGCGAATACCGCAGCCGATTAACTCATCCAAAGTGTTCATACTGCAACTAGAGAACAATGAGCTGAGGTTTCTGCAACCACAGTATCTCATAAATACTGGTATACAGTTGAATTAATATTACGATGGAACTGAAGAATCGTATACTGACTGCCTCGTCTCATGCTGCGTTTTATTTTATATTTTTTTAATTTTTATTACAAAACCAATTGTGCGCGCATGATACGAAAAAGCATGTTTATTTTAATAAAGTATCTATACGCGCATAGATTTTTATCTTTTAAAACAAGATGTACATTGTATCATATTGTTTTATTAAAATATATATTTTGATTATTTCTTAAAACTTTACAATAAAGGCGTGTTCAGTTGTGAACACACTTAAGTCGCAGATAGATTGTAAAGAATGTACAACAGTGATGTTTCTGAAACGATTGTTTCGTATTTTAGGTCTCTATAAACTACAGATTAAGCATAATCCTCTGGCGGACATTCCAGAGGAAGCCTTTCTAGGTCTCGAGAGATCATTATGGGAGCTTGACTTGTCCTATAATCAACTCGCAAGCGTGCCGAGCAAATCATTTAGACATTTACAAAAACTACGACTTCTCGAACTCACAGGTACTTGTCTTTAGCGATTTAAATAAATTACAACTGAATTAATTTAAAAATTCAATAGTCCTAAAAAGTCTTCAATGACGTTTTACATTCTACTACACTGATAATATTTTAATAGTTGTATTAGTTTGTATAGAATTTTAATTAAATAAGTTTCTAAATAAAACTACAATGAATATTAGCGTATTCAAGTAACCCGAACATTTCTTTAGATTGAGCAGAAGAAAGCTGTATTAATATTTATAGTAGCTCTAAAAATATTACACAGAAAATGTGGAGTAACGTAATAAAGTTGAAGACTGTATATTATCATACATGAAATTTCGTATGCAGGCAATAAGATATCTCGCATTTTGCCGGAGAACTGGCGTGGTTTAGAGAACTCCCTTCAGACTCTACGTCTAGGAAGAAACGCGATCGAGAAACTGCCAGCCGATGCCTTCGTCGGTCTCACGTATTTAGAAGTCCTTGATCTTCGAGAGAACAGCCTGAAGGAGATCGATCCTTCGGTGTTCAGGGACGGAATGGCACACCTCACGCACCTTTATCTCAATGACAATCAGCTGACATATGTGCCGTACGGCCAATTATCCTTATTGAAACGCATGAAGGTCCTCGATCTCAGTTACAACAGGATATCGAAGATGCTGCAGGCCCAACAGGAACCGGAGATCAGAGGTATACAGATGTCCCTGGACGTGTTACAGTTGGACTATAATCAGATCGAGACCCTCACGTCCGGTGATTTTCAACACTTCTACAAAGTCAACCGCACATATCTTAGAGGCAATCCTCTGATGACTATCGAGGTACGACGACGAATTTAGGATCACAATTTAATATGGCTCAAATCAAACAGCGCAAAGTCGAAAGAATGTTCAGGAGATACAAAAATTAGGATCTTATTATTAATAGCAGCAATTAAATAATAGAGTAACTGATACATTGAATATTTGCAATTGAAGGAGGGTACATTCAGAGACTCGCGCATTCGTGAGCTATATTTGAGCGACTGCGACCTGCTGGAGATTAGCTCGGCCAACTTAGCCGGCCTGGAACTGTCGCTTGAGTTGTTAGACGTGTCTGGAAATAATGTAACTGCACTGCCTAATCATCTGTTCCAAGAGTTCGATTTTCTGCGTACGCTCGTCTTCCGCGAGAATCGCATCGACACATTTTCGCCAAGTAAATATTGCACATTTTTCGCAATTGGCAGATACAAAACGGGCACTATTCTCACGATGTGTACTTTCAGTTGATGTTTTTAATGGCTTCCAATATTCCTTGTATAATTTGGACCTCAGCGGCAAGCAGAACGGCATGATTTCCCTTCAAGATCTGCGACAAATGAGAAATTTACGTTTTCTCTCGATCTCCCGAATGCCACAGGCGATCTTATCAGCGAATGATTTCTTAGAATTTGGTATGGACATCAAAGAACTACGAATAGTGAATAGTAATCTAAACACGATCAAGGGTCACGCTTTCATGCACGTTCGCGGAATCAAACACCTCGATTTTTCTGAGAATTCGATATCGACAATAGATGACGAAGCTTTCTCGGAGGTAAACTCTTCATTCCATTTTTTAAACCTACTTAGCTCAGCCTTGATATATAAGTTAGAAAAGTTAAATTTTTATAAAGATAACTTAACAAGTAAAAATAATCAAGTGTTCTGTGTGCAATAAGAAAATGATATAAACAATACAAAAATACTGAAAAATTTTTCGCAATTTTTCACATAGGTGGGCTATTCTCTGTTGACGTTAAGAATGTCTCACGGCCTCTCCTCTACAATTTCTGAAATACCAAATCGACCGTTCAAGTCATTGACGAATTTGCAGCATCTTGATTTTAGTAACAACAAGATACGATCTTTACCTGCTACGTCCTTCCATTTTTTGAAAAGAATTAAACGCATTGAACTTCAGGATAACGAAATCGACAACATCCCGAAGGGTACTTTTCAGGTAAGTTGCATGTTTGTACGATGGGTGTCTCATGTGACGAGAAAACCGTTTCATTAGGGTGACATTCATTCGACACTGGAAGAGGTCAATTTCGCATTTAATCAAGTAAAGCATCTACAAACTCATACATTTGTTGATCTGTCGGCCCTAATGACGATCAATCTAGAAGACAACACCATCGAGAGGATCGAAAGACGGACCTTTATGAACATGAACCGACTTAAATACATCAACTTGCGCGGTAATAAGATTAGAGACATCACCGATGAAGCCTTCCAGGTAATTTAATATATGAATACACGCGTAATTTTTAGTAAACAGGTGCTGGAGGTTTTATAAGTTGTTTGCACGGGCTTTTAAAGCCGATTGTTTCTTAACAAACATTTCGTATAAAAACATTACTTTTTATGTATTCAAAATTTTTCTTGTATTTTTGAAAGCAAGTCGGAAATGCAATATTTATTAAACTAACTTGGAATTAACTGAAAATAGAAAATTCTACCATGTACTTGGATTTTTAAGATTTAATATAATTTTTACTGTGAAATAATACTGTAAATTGATCTTTCTGTAAGTAAATTCAATGATGAATTGGTGATCTGAAAAGACACTATATACATTATCAATGTTTCAGAATTTACCGGATCTTGAGTTTCTTGATCTTGCATATAACAATCTTAACGAATTTGACTTCGCCTCCTTCGATCAAGTGGGGACATTATCATCATTTAAAGTCAACGTTAGCCATAATGAAATTTCAAGATTGTGGGTAAATACCACCATTTTCGCATCTCCGCCCATCGGTGAGTTTGTCTCGTGTTTAATAAACATCTCTCAGAAATAACTTCAATTTAGAAATAGTAAATGATGAATAAAAATTAACTTTTAATAATTTTGTCTCGTTTTGCTTAAAATTATTTAATATTATTTATTTTTCGATTTATTTATTAAGCTGTTTTTTTTATAAACGTCAACATTTAAACTGATATTTTTAATTCCAAATCTCTACTTTCAGTTAGCGCCAATGTGCAATCAAACATCAAAATTCTGGACTTGAGTTACAATAATATCTCCAATATCGCAAAATATTATTTCAAGCCGGTCGAATACTCGCTTACTCATCTGTATTTGTCGAACAATCAACTGAGGAACATCACCCAGGGTGTCTTTGGCAACATGCCTCACTTGCAGTGGCTCGACTTGAGACATAACAAGCTGACGGAGCCAGACTTTGACTGCTTCAAGAACACGAAGAACCTGCAAGTGCTACTCTTCTCCTGGAACGAGATTACGGACATCCCGGCGGAGACTCTGAGACCCCTAAGGAAACTGCGCATCGTGGATTTGTCTCATAACAAGCTGAGAACACTGCCGGATAACATGTTCATGGATTCCAGCATAGAGAGTCTTGATCTTTCGCATAATCAATTCACGAGGCTGCCTGTCAAGAGCATGTCGGTGACTTCTACCGCGAGATTAGCAAATCTGGACATGTCCTGGAACATCCTGTCGGGGATCCACACCACCGACACGATATACAGACTCAGAGTGAGTTCGTTCCTCTGTGCATACTTAGATATCACATTGCAATGAGTCGAAATTATAGCTAATTGTTTTCTACTAGTTACCTCGTAATTGTACACTACTGAATAATTTATATCGTACATTGTATTTATATATTTTCTAATATACTATTTTAGGGTCTTGTATGGTTAGACCTGTCGTACAATCGACTCGTTAGATTAGACGACGGCGTTTTTTCCGATCTCCCATATTTGGCTCATCTCGATTTAAGCCACAACAAGCAGCTTCTTGTGGAAAGCCGCGGAAGGACATTTTACGGTTTGGAGAACACACTTATGTATCTCAGTCTGAGCAATATTTCTCTCTTGAGCGTAAGTATTTTACTATGCGAGAGAGACACATAGAACAGCATGTAATGGGTACTATAGGTTCCAGAATTACCTCTGCGACGATTACAAGCCTTACATCTGGCGCATAACGAGCTGGCATCGATTCCTCCGGAAATGTCGTCGAATCTGACATCTCTTCACCATTTAGATTTAAGTTTCAACGATTTGACAGTGGTACCGTTGATCACTCACTCGCTGCCGAAATTAAAGACCTTCAACTTGGCGGACAATCCCATTGCTGCCATTACAAATACCAGCTTTCTCGGGGTGGCCGACAGTCTCGAAGAGCTCGACATACGAAGACTCGCTCTGTCAGTCTTCGAGGTACGTTCTTGTTTACATTTCGAATTTGCACATCATAAATTTTGCGAGATCTCGTCATGACGAGACACGACTCGATTTATGCAGGCAGGTGCGCTTTGCAAGGCCACCAAACTCCGCAAATTGCACATCACTGCGTATAACGGTATAAAGAACTTCAACTTTCCCAACATCCTGCAATACAATCACGGCTTAAAGCATTTGCTCATTGATGTGAGTATCGAATGAATATCGTACCAAGAAAATTGGGTCTTACTGAAGCAATTTATAACAGGTGCAGAATGACACCAATCTAGAGAAGGAAATGAGAGGGAAATTACCCAATAAATTGTATAACATTACGTTGACTGGTAAAGCTTTAAAGAATATACATTCAGAGATACTGCATGTAAGTTGTAATTTTTTAACTCGTACTTAAGCAGAATTTCTTTGCGAAACTTCAACATCTCAATTCTCATGTATACATATACTGTTTTGCGAATATATTTTTTATTTAAAACAAAAATGTAATTCTCCATATTCAAGTAATCAGAATTAGTTAACGTACCTAAATTTTATTTTATTTTTATAGGAACTATCCATATAGTAATTCTATACAACATTATAAAAATTTGGTTTTATTGGTGATAAATATCATAAATTTGACAGGATATTCAACATTATTAGACGCTGATTTTGAAGTAAACATTTAATAACTTTTTAGGGTATACGAAACCCTCATCTTCACTTCGGCTTGTACAATACCAGCGTGACGACCGTGCCGCGAGAAATATTCAGAAATGCACAGCGTGTGCGTAATGTAACTGTGGAGATTCACAATAGCGATACTCGAACAGTGCATAATCCGTCATCCGGTTACAAGCCTGGAGTGCCGGGTGAGCGATTCCTCATGAAGCTTCGATTAGCGGACAGTCATCTCAATTGCGATTGCGATATCGGGTATGATACAATAAAATCGAATTGACTTAATAGAATACTTGAATGCCGAATACATAGATTTAAAGGGAACAAAATTAATACAGCAGTAAACTGCAATTATCTCAATGGCATACATATACAGAATGTACATACAGAAGACAAATATTTTACTTACTTGGATTTACTCTACTCCAAAGTTGATAAAATTTTACTAATGTTTTATTTTTTTGTGACTTAATTCTCTGTTATATGTGATTCTTTGCCAATCTTTATTTGCAAATTATGCTAACGAGCGATAAGCACTTTCTTCTTTCTTTTACACAGATGGATAGAAGTGTGGCAAAGGAAGCAAAGACAATATCAAGAGGACCGATGTGTGTCTTACGACGAATTCCAGAATTTCGAGCGAGAGGAAGGAGACGAATTCAATTGTTGGGACAACGGATGGGATGATGATCTCCGCGAGACGTTCTGTCTGAACAAAAACAATATGTCGTTGTCGAACTCGTTAAAAACGGAGCTGGAATGTGGTTGGAGCGCGGCAAGTTATATCAAGTTGAACACTATCGTTTTCTTGGTGTTCTCAATCGTCTTAGCTGTCATTTATTAAGCGCCTCGTTCTCGACTTCATGGCTTTGTATTCAATATCCTCCAACTGATTTGCGAATTTTATCGTACCAGACAGGTGTCGTAAAGAAATGATTAACAACTAGATTATCACGCATGCTCATAAATTTGTACAAAGGAAGATTAAATCGCAAATAAAAAAATTTTTGTAAGGGTATCGCCGTCATGATTTTATTTGACAGTGCTGTAACTTAATTGCGCGTCACGATTTTAGTTGCAATGGCGATTGCCATGTCTATGATCGGCGAAACGATGCTAAATATAAATATAATGCCGATATACACGCCGAACATTTGCAAGATGAAGATCGTGAGTTTCACCATTACTTGCTGAACATTCTTGCTCCTACGTATATCGTTTACCCGGTCATCCATGAATTTCAATATGAAGGAAAACATCTGAAACTCACGTTTTAAGAGATATACATGCCCCTTCGCTTATGGTTTGCAGCAGATCTATAATCGCGCTTATGTAATCACCTTGATAACGGAAACGATCTTAATGATCACGTATATCAGTGCCAACAGAGATTGTGCCGTAGCCTGAGCCATTACTAAGACCAAAGCAGCGAAGGAATATTTCGTGCGTGGTGTATCGCAAGATTCCTGATAGGTAGCCAAATCTCGACAATTGATAAGACTACTTCGCCTTGCTCTACCTTCCCGGGGCTCATCTTCTTTCACAACATTCTCTATAATATTATGACACGATTCGATTATCTATGTTCTTCAGATTGGCACTTTTAAAAAATATATAATTTTTTTTATATACGTTGTATCGGTTTATAGTAATTTGTATTTTTAATCTGTATCAAGTGTGAGATTTTAATTACATCTGTTTGACGCAAAAATTGCCCGACAGATGAAACTAAGCAAAATTTTTGTTGAATAAAAATTTGTAACGCATTTTAAGAAACAGAGCAAAGAAGTTAAATGATTAATTAATCGGTCAGCGTACTACTTATCACAAAATTAAGATTATCAGACTCTTACTAAATATTTTCTTTATGTATCAAGTATTATAATTATTGTGTTTGTGTTATTGTACATTTACCTAATGTATCAGTGGAGTTTTTATGACCCATATGATTATTGGTAGAAATGCTACGTGGATTTTTGTATTTCCATGAGACGTATTCAAATTGTTGAATCACATTGCTTTCAGACGTAGATAGATCGTCTTTCCAGACGCCTGAATTTTCAGTCTCACTTGATGTAGTCGGAACGTTTCCCGCATCGATCACACTCGTTGATCGAAGAGACAAATCCTGCCTGCTAAAACACCTGGTCTCATTCAAAATCTAATAATAAAATAAGATACGTCTATATCACAGTTACTTATATTATTATTTATAGTTATTTATATTATCTTGCGTAATAAATTTTCGATTGTACTATCTCGTATATCTTTTTTTTTACTTTTCTACAGAAGTCGGAATTGTCTGCTCGTTGAGATCGCTCATGTTTAACGGTAGGACTAATGGGGTTTAATTTGCAGGGAGCAGCTGTAACTTGGACGGTCTGCTCTTCGACACGCATACTCGTGAAATTTACGTCAATTATTTATTACGTTCAAAGTTACATGTAGAGACTTTCGTGATAGCGAAGCCGATTGGATTCATCGAGCTTATCAGACGTTCATCTCTCCATGGATCGTGAATGCAGCCTTGTGCGAAAAATGTGAAGTTATCCTCTTATAGCCGCATCGATTATATTCTTTGTATACTCAAAGAGAAGAAAATTTCTGAGTTTTAATTGTTTTATTTAAAATTATGCAATCTTGAACTCAATATGACTTCGAGTAAAATCCAGTTAACTTAAGGGGTTACAATTGTATATACAAATTTTTGTACGTTTGTACTGAGATATTTAATAATCGAATTATTCGACGCAGCTGTAAATCATGAATTTCGTATTACCAGCGAGCAACCTGAGAGCGGCCACGCCGACGTTTCGCCTGATACCGTTTTAGGGAATTGTTTCGCGCGCCCTTACGCCCATTTTGACTTTTGAAACTATTTCGCCGTGCACCTTCTGATGCGTGTGGGGATCCACGCTACGCCTATATTTTTTTCAGGATTGTGCTGTGAAATTCGAAATTGCATTAACACAAATTATCTGCACGATATTTACATCAACTTTTCTCACGCGGACAATGCAAATTTTATAAATTGGATGTCGGAATGCACAGCGCGGACGTGCACCAAGTGGAAATTTTATCGGCAGAGTCGGGAAATGCGCAACAAGATAGTTCCAAAAGTAAAAAGTGGGCGTAGGAGCGCGCAAAACGGTCTCCCGAAAATCAAGTAAAACGCCCGCACCGGAAGTGCAGAACCGAACGGTGCCGAGTGTACGTTTGGCGGTTTTTAATACGTTAATGGCGTCTTCGTGTCAGAAGAGGTTATGCGGTGAGGGACTCTAGAACCTTACAGGACGAATTTTTGTGCTCTACGTTAAAAAACAAACGGCCAAGATGGTAAGCGGCGAGAAAGCATCATTATTGAGTCACAATGTAGCGATCTTTCGGAATGTTCTCGATTTGGTATCCGCTCTAATCTTCTCGCACTCGAGACTCGCGCTGGCGTTCCTAACCAAAAAAGGAGAACGAACGTTGAGCCAGTCTTCTGGACGAAAACAGTTTTGTGTATAAAAAGTTTACGATGTCTCACATTAAAAAATGAAGATAACGGATAAACGGTATATTTAAGAGATATCTGCTTGACGGATCTTTCGTACTTTCAAGGATAAGAACGTCCGTTTGTTCCGACAAGGTTAGAGTGCGCGTCAATAGAGCGAAATTCGGAAAGCAATTTCCTTCGTTCGCAGCACGAGGACCGAGGAATAACAAGACGTTTCTATTTTTCGTAATTTTATTTTGACATCTATTCGGCCTGAGATCTGAATTGCGTGCAGAAGCACTTGCGAACCCGTAAACATGCATGGGGATGTAGGCAAATTGTACGCATAAGGGATTTGTCCGTTTTAAACACGGATACAACGGCATCAACGTAGATATATATGTATTTCTTGAATAACGAATTGTTTTTTTTCAGACGATTGGCAAGAACAATAAGATGCTGCAGCATATCAACTATCGAGTTAGGATCATCCTGCAGGATTCGAGGACATTCATAGGCACGTTCAAGGCTTTCGACAAGCACATGAATCTGATACTCGGTGACTGCGAGGAGTTTCGCAAGATCAAACCGAAGAACACGAAACAGCCGGAGCGAGAGGAGAAGCGTGTGCTGGGATTCGTGCTTTTGCGGGGCGAGAATATTGTTTCTCTGACTGTGGAGGGTCCGCCGCCCCCCGAGGAGGGACTGCCTAGAGTACCGATCCCAGGAGCGGCGCCAGGACCGGGCATGGCCCGCGCTGCTGGTAGAGGCATGCCAGCGAACGTCGCTGGGGTGCCGGCCGGACTGCAAGGACCCGTCAGGGGGGTTGGAGGTCCCTCCCAGCAGATCATGACACCCGGCAGCAGAGGTCAGGTCTCGGCGCCACCTCAGATACATCCTGGTGGTCCGCCGCGTATGCCGGTCGGTGGGCCGCCACCGGGCATGATGGGACCGCCGGCTGGAATGATGGGTACGATTTTTTCCCTTGATCTCTGAATATCTCCTTTCAGACGACGCTATTGTTTTATCTTCTGTATTCTTCCGTGTCCCCCCTGTGAACAGCTTGACGTGCAAATGTTTGACCCTTTGCTAGATTTACGTTGTAATATTTAGCGTGCATATTTTTATTCGACGCTCCCCACCTGTTAGAATTATTTTATGCGTCATATCTAAAAGAAACTTTATGACCTTGGTCCTCTGTCAAATACAACTGTTGCGCGATATGTTGGGTGTAAATCTATCATCTTTTTGAGTTCTCTGTTACAATAAAATTTATGAGAACGGCTGGTATGTGTTAATAGTATTTTACGTGTATTAATTTTCAAAATCTAACATTATATAATGATAGAAATAGTTACGAAGTTTATGTATTTCGTTGTCTTATAGGTATGCCACCCGGAATGCCGCCTCTAGGACGTGGTGGTCCACCGATGGGACCACCTGGTATGAGAGGCCCGCCCCCAGGTCTGATGCGCGGCGGCCCACCTCGTCCGTACTAGCAACTGGATGATTAAGACGCGTTCCATAATAACATAGCTAGGAATTCTTTTGTAATATTAATACTGTGCTCTTTAATCCTCACGATACTTGTGTGAATGTACAACGGTTTTATAAACTCAAGATTCATAACAAATAATAAAATCTGCTCAGGTAACGTTTTAATCTTTGCTTAAAAGAAATTAATACATTAGTAATACCATCGTATAACTAGTAGGTCCACTCTCTGTCGGCCCTTTTAATCTTTGCGGCCCCGATCGAGTGGTATTCCGTCATTATTTTGGGCAGCAATCCAGCGGCGTGTGTGTGTACATACAATTCTTTTGTCATTGATCTGCCCAGCACAATGTTGGATGCGCAGAAGGAATCGACGCAAAATGAAACAAATGACTAAGTGGACCTACTAGTTGTACTATGGTAATACTCGAAGACTCGTGTGGTCTTTTAATTGATAAATTAATTAAAAACTAATTGATGTCAAACAATACACTTTTTACGCCTCTAGGATAAATCTTTTCCAATAGCACTGTAATATATCTTTTACCGAGCATAAAGTTTCCTTAGTATTGCGACAAACATGTATGTTAATATTTTTTGATATCCAAAGATGTAACAAACGACCAGTTCTACTCACGTTTAAATATCTTTATTTCTTTGCAATTAGCTATAAATATCATTATTCGTATCTGTACATAGTTTGCACATTAATATTATATATACAGAACAGAGTATCTCTGATTTATTGCATCAATTTTCATCTACAAATTTTATTTCTAAATTCGAGTATTGCCAATGAATACTCTGCATGTGCGGCTTTTTTTCGTAATTTTTTAATATACATTATCTTGGAAAACAAAGCCTTACATTAAAATTGTTAAAATAAGGCCTATTTCGAGTTAAACAAAAATTAATTTTGAGAGATGGAGTAACTAATTAAATTGTTCGCTTTAACATATCTTCAAAATCGCTTATGCAATAGTAGGATGTCTTGTTAAATTATTGTTTGAAAAAGTTCCGTCGCTCCAGTAAAGAATATGTTGTAGCGTCTTTTACGATATTTTTATATTTAACGTAAAACTCTATCAGGTTTCTTGATACGAGAAATCTGAGACACTCAGTACATACCGAATATATACTGAATTGAGAATACGCAATTATCTCAATTTACGTATTTATGAAGATTGCAATCGTGCAAGATCAGCTGCTTATAAATTCGTACAATAAGAATTTAGGCGGAAGCATCCTGCGATCTGGCAAAAATGCTGCTTAAAATACACTAAAGTCTGAGTAATAGAATACCACAATATTGCAATTTGAAGGGCAGTGTCATTTCGGTTACAAAAAATATAGCCTTTTCCTGTTACACTCTCAGTTGAGAACAGATTGTTGCCCTACATGAGCAAGTTTTATTAAAAAATAGCAAAAAACAACACTTCTTTTTCGCTATTGATAACTAATGCTATCGTTAAACTTCTATTAACATTCGCACTTTATCAATGGCGATAGGGCGGAAGAAAGTACATGTCCACCCAACGTCTTTTCTCAGAGTAGCCTGAGTACGTCGATATTTTACATTTACAAAATATTTACAACGCTGCAACAGTAGTATGAGCAAGTGACAGATTCACAAAAATCAAACTTCTAATACTTAACATCATAATATCACATTTACAAAAATGTTTAGTCTTACATATTTACAAACAGAAGTACAAAATGATTTTTTAATGCGTATGCCATTTGACACATCCAATTACTTCTCGTTTTGCCATGCAAAGTGTAAAATTTATATTTTTTAAATAGCCGTATTTGCTAAATACGCGATGGGAATACGAGTCTTCGAATTAAAAAGCTGCATTTAGCACTAAATATAACTATACTAGATTTAATCATAAATCCACTGGATTTACTATTAATAATAATAGGTAATTACAATTAGGATACAATTAGTACATTTAGCACTAAATGCAAATAGAGAGTTTTAGCTTGCTCCTCTGCCAGGAAATAGCAGTTGAGCTGGAACCATGAAGGAGGATAATTATATTGCAATCTGGGCTTACGAAAAGTTAAGGAGGGTGGTTGTTGAAATAAAAATGAATTCAAATTTATAGAAAATATTCGTCTATGGGAATCTGTCCTCCATGCGAAAGTTCAAAACGATTGTTTGCATGGTGGTTGTCGAATAATTAATTATTAAAGTTATACTATTGCACATGGCTAACAGCAAAAGTATTACGATATCTGTAATTTAATTCTCGAAAGAACATATATATAGATATAAAATATATATATATATATATATATATATATATATATGTTCTTGATAACTACGTAGATAAGTCATTTCAGTATTCGTCAAAATTCTTCGTAAATATGTATAGAATTATTTGCACTTATTTATTATATAGATTATCATTTTAATATATATATTTGTTCTATAAATTTGAATTCATTTTTATCATTTTTATTTGAGCAACCACCCTCCTTAAATAAACTGACAAACGCGCATAGATTGTTTCTTTACAAAAGTATAAATTAATGGCAGATTATTTAATTTTTGGCACTTATATACAATACTAATATCAATTAATATGTTTGAATCATGTTTTTATACAAATGATCAAATGATCAAATAATCAACTTATTTTCATTCATTCTGCATATACGTGATAATGAAAAAGATTGGCATCGATCATTTTCAATCCTTTCGAGATCGTCAAAATCTTCCGAGGAGCGAACATAGATGAATCTCGTTAAAATAGATGTACATATATAAATAGAAACATATGCTTGTATACTTATATATGATGATAAATACATCAGTACGCTTTCGAAATGAAATATCAGCCTTACCATCGTGTAATGATAATTACAATACGCGTAACGCGAGATCTTTAGTTGTTACGAATTATCATGCTCGTCCATCTGATTTACGGTCACCATCGACCTTGACGACTTTTCTAAATCGTGATTCTCGTCGTTGTCCACTAGGTACTGGAAGCTCTGCAAATTGTTATCTGTCGATTCTAGCGTTTCGTCAAATGCATCCACGTCCTCGTTGGATTTTTCTATTCGAATATCGTCTTCAATATCATCTGTGAAGGACGTAACATAAGCTTTTCACAATTCACTCTTTTGATTTTGTGACAACGTATCTCGTCTCTTATCAAGATTAAATTCAATGAGATATAATGTCTTCTTATACATTTGCGCGCAACATACCGTGCACTTGTTTCGGCCTGACGAGTATTTCCTTGCTTCCTAATGGTTTTGAGGGGGGATCCAGCAGATTCATGACTTGAGAATTTGTGCTCGCGCTAAGATCGTTGTTTTTTCTGTAAGAGAAAATCAAGTGTTACTTCATCAAAGTGTCTTTAAGATTCATCACATCAAGGATTAATTATTGTATCTACACTCGATATTATATTATCACTACTACTCCACACTACTGACCTGTGTTGTTTTTCTTCCGATAAGATAACCATGGAATCTGTTTTCAGAGATGGCTCCTGATCAGTTGTATTTTTGTCGCTATTGCATTCTTCCTTTTGCAAGCGCGCATTTACATCCTGTATCACAGTCTTGGGCTCAACGTTAAGAATGGCTCGCGAATCAAAAAGCTGCGAGAGAACTTTATTCTCCGGAGCGTCGTGCCGTAAACGCGTGACCACAGACACAACCGCTGTTTTTCCAGACTGCAAAATATAATTTTAGATGCACATAAAATGTCTAGACAACAAATCAAACGGGACAGTGGTGACAGAAAAGCTGTAACCGATTACCTTTATATTCGATTTGATATATTCTGCATTTTGTGGCGAGTTTGCAGTCGGCAGCATAGTCTTTGTCTGATCTCCATTGTTCAGAGAGATATGGTGGGGTTGAACATTGATCGAGTTTGCATTATGTTGGCTCGCAACACATAGATTCTTTCCTCCCATTATTACTTTACCTAGCACTTCCTGAAATAGTCAATTATAGAATCAATGCAATGCAATTTCTGTATATTCTACTGTTACTTTTGCGCTTTTAATCTCTAGAAATTTTGATACTTATTAGAATACCTTGCCTGCGTGTGATAGTGTTACGGCTTTTGCCTTCTGGATGACAATCACGTTAGTCTTATTTAATTTAGTGTTAGTATAATGAGGCATATTTACAACTTTTTTGGGAAAAATACCCTGAAAAAATGCATATGTAATCTAATATATTCTTGATATTTTTGTGTTCTTGATATTTTCATGCGCTACGTTTCTACATTTTATTATTTTTTTAATTTTCTTGTTGCAGCAATTTTAATACAAACTGAAATAAGGACTAATCGTATTTAGATTTACCGTTTTGGCAGTGGACTGATCGAAGGTTGCAATTTGTTCGGATGGCAGTTTTTTACACATTAATGCTATGGGGACCTGTTTAACTTGAGGCGGCCCAGGGCCGCTCGATACCGTTGTTCCAGGATAAACTGGTATCGATTGTGTAAGTCGAGAACCTAAAAATTTATTTGTATTTGTTCACAAGATCTATACGATATGTAAAAATATGCGGCATTTTATGTATTTATTTTCGCGACCATTTTTATTAAAGCCAACGGCACACGATACTATTTTCCTACTAGATTACTTACGAGAGCCAATCGACAGATTTGGATCAGGTGACTTAAGGCTAAATCCTGATTGGCTCTCGTAAGCAATCCAGTTGGAAAAATAGTATCGCGTGACCCTGGCTTAACACGAATAAATGTCTATCATAGTTACTTGACACTGTAGTGCTTTGTATAACTGGCGTCATAGAGCTCTTTACAGATGGTTGATTTGAGTCAATATTGTCAGACATCTGGATTTTCTGTGCACCGTCTGCAATAATAATAAAAAAAACTTTGGTGTTGCACAAAAATTGACTGTACGTCGGAAAATTTTCATAAAATTAAACTCGATCTAAATTTGATGCGGGTGCGTACTTGTGCTATCTTGAGATTGTGTGTCTTTGCTCGAATGCACTTTGTTTATGCTCAATACACAGCTCGATACTGCCGGCACTACTTTTGTACTAATTTTATTCTGCTCAGTGCTTACTACCGTCTTAGGATTGCTGGCGTTGCTCGTGCACATGGAAGTTGTTGCAGCAACTACATGTTTGTTTAACGTAACAGCAGTGCACTCGCTCGGATGTCCTGACACTGTTGTGCTCTCTTTAGAATCTGAGTGTGTCACGAAAAGAATTGAAAGTCAATTAGAGACATGTGAAAAAAAAATATAAGATGCACTGAAATATACAGTTTGTTAAAAAAAAAGCGTATATATATATTTCCGAATTTATCATAAAATCTCTAATTTAAAAACAGCAATGATTTTCAAATACCATTTATATCTCTTTCTTTCAATCGCAACAATTCCTTTTCCCAGGCTTGATATTTTTTAAATTCTAAAACAACTAACAACCTTCTATGCAAAGTGATTTGCTTTCTAACACATCCAATGCACACAGGAATGATCAGTTTTATTTCCAGGCGATTTTTACATGAAACTAAAGCAAGAAGAAAAAGACACCAACCTGAGATCTCGTTACCAGTAACCGTAATTAATGCAAAATTTTGACGCTTGGTTACTTGTAGTACTTGTGGTGTTTGCTTATTTTCAGAAGTCCGCAAAGTATGGTTTGGCGGTTCGGATATTACTAGAACTTTATTCGGTGGTGCCGACGGTAAAGGCGAAGGAGATTTGCGCTTTCGAGAGAGTTCCTTGGGTTTTTCACTAATTTTATTAAGCACATCTTTATCATCTGTCCTCTCATCTTCGATCAACTTCGAATTCTACAAATTGTGCAAACAACATGATCAGTAAAACTAAACCATAACATGTGAATATAATATAAACGTACATTTAAAAATGTACATAAAAAAATTGCAGTAGGTAGATTTATTAAATTTATACTTACTTCCTGTAAGGCTTTGCTGTTATCGAGCTCATTTTCAAAGCTATTTAATTTTACATCAAAAGATAAGTCTTCTTCCGTCTTTACGTTAGGATGAGATTCTGTTTCAGCAGCTGTTAACGTATATATATATTTACAAATATTCAGGTACTTTTTAAATGGTACAACTTGAATTAGCATTACAATTACCATTTAATAAACCTGTCGGGTTTCCAGATTGTTTAAGAGTATTGGAACTACCAGGTTTCTTCTCGTTTGCAATTGCAGTTGTAATAGACAGGCTATTTGCTAACGTCGTAAATGCAGATCGCGCCTTCAATCTTGGCAAAAGAGGAATAGTACGACGACCTTCGAGAGTCCAATCAATACCGGTATTTGGACCATTAAGTCTGGACAATAAGTTCGTATTAATTTAACAAACCAATCTCAATTTTCTAAAGTATTATTTTTGTTTTGCTTTGTAGTACAAGCTTCATTTTATTCCACTAAATTTTGTGTATAATATTTTATTAATAGAGGAAAGTTCCCTATTATGAGACTGCAGGATTCCTGCTAAATTAATCAGCATCATCTGTTGGTTTCACCATGAATTTATAGCCATTGAAGCAATCTGTTGAATTGAAATGTCATGGTTAGATTGTGTAATCGTTTGCGAAAAAGACTTGTGATTGAGTTTGGACGTCGAAAACCTGCTGTCTCGTATTCGAAGGCTTATCTTATAATAGGGAACCTTGTCTCTCCTCTTTGCATACGCGATCAACATCTCTTTAGTCCCCCGCAAATTCATTGTCGCGTGGAATACATACTGTTCTGCAATTGTGGAAAGTTTCTCATCGTTCACAGCTCTCCGTACTTCGGCGCGATGTCTTTCATTGGAGATATGTAATACTTTAGCAAGTTCTTGCAACAACTTTTGCTTTTCGTTGGTGAAGGGGCCTTGAGCTCGTAGGACAGAGACCATACTTCCATAAGCGTCTAATTCTGCAGCACAAGAAGCGACGTACATGAAAATACATCGTGCAAAAATTACCGAGCTACTCACGCGTGCAAACGTTATTACTTTTGTAAAGTGTATTTGAAACTAGGCTTTGTAAAAAACAATTATTCACGTTTTAGACACGGGACGCCTAAAATTGAGTCCCCATCTGAAGGATACGATATATCCGTTGCGACATATTCGAAAGCATCAAATTCTGTATTACATAACCACATGTACAGCTTTTCATATATTGGAGACAGATATTATACATAATAAGTATAAATTTTTACACTTTAAAGTATCACATACATCATTAAATGTGTCTCAATATCTTGATTCCTATTCGAAATATTTGTATAAATTATTCGTGTTCGATATTCCATTGAGAGAAGCATACATTTTTCTTCACTCATACCCCGACTATCTTCTTATACACACGTGGCGTGCAAATTTGGAACAAGGGCCAAGCACTGTGGCTACAATTTACCGTTAAACATGCTGTCTATTCCACGCGTTATCTACGCAATACAAAGGTCATTTCCTAGTATTAACATGAAATAATAGCCGTAGCGTCTTAGACTTCAAGCATTGCCGGAGGAACGAGGACTTCAGGCTTGGGTGCTTCCAGCATTAAACATATCCATCCGACACGAGGTCCAACGTTAACCGCTGTGTTTAACAAGCGAGGGACAGGAGCTGGGCTTCCATGCCAAGCTTCCGTATCCGCTGTTGGCGAACGCGCTATTGGACCTCCGGGATTTCTCGACTCGAGAAACGCGCTCGACGCGACAGACGCGATCGGAACAGCGTCGTCGCCGTCGTCGTCGTCGCTGCGCCGCGGGGAACGAGTGCGGCCTCGCGTCCGACACTTGATTTTTTTTTTTTTTTCACAGACGGTACTGGAGTCGGAGAGCAGCACATCGACGAGGCACGAAGCTCGCCCGCTCGCTCGTTAAACGAGGCTATTAATTTAAGCCACATAACCTTACCGAGGCAGCGTAGGCACTTCCTGCACTCGTCGCGAGTCATCTCCGGCCGTATCGGCCACATGATTCCGCGTCTCTTCCGCAGCCGGGCCCGGAGTCACACGCACAGGACGGCGAAATCGGCGCGCGTCACCCAGCGCATTTTCGAAACCTCCGTTGACAGTCGTGCGAGTGGTGCGACGTGAAGTTGTCGGGCTAGTACTATTTTGTTACCACCGTTGCGTTGGGACCCCTGTCGGTCGTTCGTCCTGAAAAGTTGGCAGTTCCGCACGCGCGCAGATCGCAGCGCGCGCGTGTCGCAAAGAGCGCGGGGACTCGGCCCTATCTAAAATTCCCAGAATTTTAGCACCATTTCCGAGAATTTCAAACATCAAATCGCGAAAGTTCTCGAAAACTGGCGAAGTAACGGGAGGAACGGGAGAACATGATCGGCAAAGAGGTGGCGCTATCTAAAATTCCCAGGATTTTTCACCTCAAAGATCGCAGAGATCGAAGAGACCGACAGAGAGTGGACCTACCAGTTGAAATAAGTCCCAGTCTACAATAGAGATTTAAGCCCTAAGCCTAAGTCCCAGTCTACAATAGATGATTTAAGCCCTAAGCTTTAAGAAATTGGCCAATCACGGTCAAGTATGAGTAGAATGCGCGACTGTGATTAGTCAATTTCTTAAGGCTTAGGGCTTAAATCTCTATTGTAGACTGGGACTTAAGAAATTGACTAATCACAGTCGCGCATTCTACTCATACTTGACCGTGATTGGCCAATTTCTTAAAGCTTAGGGCTTAAATCATCTATTGTAGACTGGGACCAGAGAGACTGGGACTAAAGCGTTCACTGATTTAAAAGCACGCGCCAATCAGATTCACGATTTTTCTCCGCTAAACGCAGCCCACGTCTGATCCAAATGAGACATTCCCGACTTATTATATGCCGCATCGTATCTTATAGTCTCACATAGTCAAAGACTCGCCGGCGAAATCAATTTTACCGATCGAGCAAAAAAAGCGCGAAAACTTCAAACGGAAATACCACCGCTCGTTCCCATTTAGCCTACGTTTTCTCAAGCTTTTACGTAGCAGCTTAATCGCGCCGCTTGTCCATTCTCGCAAACTAATCGAAGCGTCCAGCAACCAGCTCGTTACTTTTACTTTAACTTGAATCTCGGTTTCCCTCGGCAGCAAACTGCACGATTCCAATTTAAAATCTCATTTGGCTCCGCGCGTCCATCGAGCGTCGTTCAATTCAAATTCCGTGATTCCGCGTTTCGGGGCGGAATCTGAAAGTCGTCCGCGACGCCTCGGCGACGTCCGGTCAACGAGGAAAAGCACGTCACGCGAACATGGCCGCCGGAGGAGATCAATAAGATGCGTGGAGAATTGAATTTATCCCGTTCCGCCGCCGCCGCCGCCGACACACCACGCGATCGCTGACTCACGAACGTCCCGTCGCGTCTCCGTGCGCGACGCGGCGTCGCGGGGGCTCGTTCTCCATGTGTGCGTGCGTGCGTGCGCGCGCGCGCGCGTCGTTTCAGCTGATCCGCGGGGGTCGACGAGTGAAAGTGCTCCGAATACCTGTCGAGCCGTGAAGACCGCCGCGGGACCCCCGATCCGTGTGCAGCGCGCGATGCGTCGTCGGGCGCGAGACGGTGACGTTCGGCCGTACCGAAAGTTCCTAATGCAACCTTAGGTATAGTCGGCGCGATGCAACGATGCCGAGGGCCGAGGGTCGACTTTTTTTTCTCCCCAGAACAATTACAAGTGCCTCTCCCTCTCTCTTGCTCCGCGCTACCTGCCGCCGTTCCCGGGTGCGCGGCGACGGGAACAAATCGCCCGACAGCTTTCGCGCTCCGGTCGGAGCGGACTCGAGACGGCAGTAAAAAGCGAAGCCTGCCGTCTCCGTCGCGGTGGACGCGGTTTAAGAGAATTGGTCTCCCTTTTCTCTTACGACACGCAACGATCGGGAGTACAGAGGGCGAACTCTCTTTAACTTCGACACTCCACGTTGTTCTACCTGTAAAAAAAAAGTCTACCCGCGGCCACAACGCCGGGATCCTTTTCCCCGCCTTTGTTCCACGCGTTTTAATCGGCGTCATTCTGTCCCGCAGCCTGTACCTTATTTTGGAATTCGCCGACGCTCACGCGGGAGAGAGGCTGGTTGTTCGACAGCTGTGGCTCTAATACGGATACCTGGGACACCCCGTTCTCGCCGTGTGCGCGCACAGTGTGACAGCGCCGTTCCCCGATGTGTCCCGCTACTGACACTCGTAGGAGAAGAATCGCCTCCTCGACGCAGCTGCGCCTTCAGCACCGGGCATTCGTTCTCCCACGTGTGCACGGTGTAGCGTTACTCGCCCAGTAATCACGCTCGCGTCGCGTTCGACAGCCGGAGCGGGGCTGAGAGGGGGCGCGTCCTCGACAGCGGTGAATCTAATATGGACAGTCTGCAGCTGGTCCTGGTGGCTGTCCTCACGTTTGTCTGCGGTGTAATATGTACCCTGGCGTTGCAGTTCTACCTGTTCAAGAGGTACTTGGAGACGGGGCCGCCGGCCGCCACGCCGCAGAGGCAGCTGCGGCATGGCAAGGCGCAGTTACCTGACGAGCTGGCGGAGCAGCTGCAGGAGGAGCGTGCGAGCGCCAACAACAGTATGTCCCGCCAGGCGATGTCCCAGGGCAACGAGAACCTGGCGATCAACCTGACGCTGCAGTTCCTCTTCAACGAGCTGCGGAACGCCGAGCGAGTGCGCCTGTGGCTCTACCGCAAGTTGAACAACGAGTTCAAGGAGCTGCTGACGCAGTCAACCACCGCCAAGCTGTTGGACAGCGTGATGGTAAGATTCGGCGGCGATACGATTTTGCGAATGGCACGAGGGCGAGGTACTTTTCGACGGCAAATATCCTCTGTAATTGTTTGCAGCTGAGGGACTTGAATCTCGGCACGCAATTTCCGACGATCAAGGGTCTGGAGGTCGCCGACTCCAAGATCGACGCTGACACGGGTTTGCTGGAGTCGCTGGACTTGGCCTTAGATTTACATTACTCAGGAAACTTTCAATTGTCTATAGATGTTAAGATGCTGCTCGGTAAAACAGCCTACATGGCGCTGCAAGGTATTAACGCGTTAACGTGACAGAATCGAGGATAGAACATGCAAACAAAATAGGAAAACGGTGTATCCTATCGTGTTTCATTTGTTTTTACAGTGAAGCGTATCAGCGGTAAAGCTAGGCTACAGTTTACTCGCGTACCGTACACGCACTGGTCGTTGAGCTTTTATTCGGATCCGATCTTGGAGCTGGAGGTGCAGTCGCAGTTCCAGGGCCGTCAGCTACAGCCGCAGATCATCTCGATCATCACCGGTCAGATTAGGAGGGCGGTGAAGCGGAAGCATACTCTACCTCGTTACAAGATGCGCTACAAGCCGTTTTTCCGCAGATTGAACGACGAGGCCGTGGATCTCTCGGAGGTAGGACGCGCTCCCTTTAAGCCTACTCGGCCTCGCGCGTCTGCAAAAACTCACAATTCAAGGAACGACGATAATTACGTAATTTTAATTTCGATTCTTCGCACAACACCGGTCCATGTTTCCTCAGGTCGCCAGCACCCAGCTCACCCCTGGATACCTGGAGGTCGTGCTGTTGGAGATCAGCAGATTAAACCTCGCGCCCATCGTCCTCAACAGCGGCGAGGACGTGTCGCAGGTGGAAGTGCACTGCACCATGAGCATAGATTCTACGCCGTGGATCTACCTGACGCAGTACAGCGGCGTTCCATACATGGTGCTGGACCTGATCATCAGTAAGACGGGCTCCCAGCAGTTGGGCGTGGTGTTCAAGCAGGAGGTCGTGCCGGAGGTCGGCCAGATGTGCGTGCTAGTCGAGACCATAGTGTCCGGCAGTCCGGCGGCGATCGCCGAGATGAGGAGGGGCGACATTTTGGTGGCGGTGGACGGCAAAAAGGTGTCGAGCATGAATCAAGTGGCCAAGTTCGTCAAGTCCGCTGTACAACGACGTTTCATTATCAGGGTGGAGAGGCGGTACTCGAAGGCGGATTCGAGCGAGAGGGGGCAGAAAGCGGACAACGAGAGAACGCCCTTCGCCGAGAGGAAGGCGTCGAAGAGCGACTCCGTGGGCAGGCTGGACAGCCCGAGTGTGGAAGACGCCGGGAAGATGAAGTTCGAGGCGCAGATCAAGTTCTCCGATCTGCGAGATTCCGACACTGATCTCGCGGACTCCCGGTTGGAAACCGGTAAGCTGTTCAAGAGAAGAAAGAGCAGCATCCAGACGGAGGAGGTCGCCCAGACGCCCGACACTACGCCGTCTCGACGAATCTCGTTGGTCTCCACGTCGTCGGCGTCATCCAGCAATGTTCAATTTTATCTTCCGGACGACTGTAGCACGACCAACATCGCCGATCTGTACCACAACACGAAGGAGAGACCGTACGCCTCTCTGCTCACCTTCGAGGAGACCAAGAGCTTCCGCATCGATTCCGAATTGCAATACTTAAACGTGGGCGTGTGGGGCCGCGTGAAGGGCGGCGAAACTCCACCGAAACTGCTAGGCTACATAAACGCGCCTGTGAAATTAATCCTGGCGCAATGCTGCACCTCCACGACCGGGCATTACCTAAAATGTCACGCTTTATTGCCCCCGGAAAGTGGTACGTCCCGAAAATTATCTTCCCCTCTTGTCCCTTTTAATTATATTTGTTGCACCATACACAAAGTGGGCCAAAAGTCACTACTTATCGAAGGGTGAACTAATGCTTTGTTGACGTTATTAAGCAGGCTACGTGTAATTAAATAGAAAAATTAAGTTAAATAGGACCATTATGATATAAATCAAACAAGCGGGAGCGCCTTTAGGTCCGAGCGAGATGTTGGTAGCCTAATAATTGTAATCTGAAATGTGAATTCATACGAGTATACCGTTTTCCATCTTGAAACCGGCGCGCGGGACAAGGTGGACAACGGTATATGAATTCACATTTTAGATTACAATTATTGGACTACCAACATCTCGCTCGGACCTAAAGGCGCTCTCGCTTGTAGGTATAAAAATGTTTCTCAAATTGCTTTCCTTTCTTCTTCAGTAAACATGTTACAGACATGAATATGAGTAAATAAGAAGATGACCGAAAACAAGATTATCTTACAATTAACGCAATTTCAAGAACAAAATTGAAATGGACAGGGACTTTGGGCTCCTCCCTGTACACGTGTACATAAAATATACAAAAATAAAATTGTAAATAATAGTTTCGATAAATTTTCTTAGGTGGAATCGACTTGCGTAATAAGGAAATAACTTCCTCGCCGGTATTCTGTCGGGATTTCACTCAGCCTCCCGAGAAAATTTATTGGAAGTAAATTTAGAGGATTAATTGTAGAATTTTTTTTAAAGCTTCTTTAGCGACGTCCTACGTAAGACTGCAGGGTTACTCGGGATTCGATCCGACGCTCTGTTACGGCGACATTCTGCTATCGTACATATGGGAATCGTGTCGACCGAGCGAACATGCGAACAATGATTTCGGGAAGAAGGAGAACGCAGAAACTGCCAAAATTCAACCGATTCCAAGCGAGGAGATTGCTGACAGGAAGATACACGATTTTATCAGGACACACTTCCACAGAGCGACGCACTGTGACTTTTGCACGAAAAAGGTGTGGCATTTCAACTCGGCAATTTATTTATAGTTTGTCGAATTACCCATGTGTGCACAAGAGGAAATCAATAAAATTATATTGACAAATTGGAGGAAAGGGCTGAGCCAAAGCGCCAGAAGGAAGGGACGTTACGACTTTTTATTAATAAAACACTTTATTGTCAAAAGAAAAATATCGACTGATCTCTTTCAATTTCCGGTTTTTCTGTTTAAACGCCCATTCTCGTCCTAAATGAGTGTCTAGGCAGACAAACCGAAAACTGCGCAAAATCGAGATACGACTTTGCAAGAGAGATCAGTCGATATTCTAGACATTTCGAGCCACTTCGGATCTTCTTCAATACTACAAAAAACAATAAGGTACAAGATATAATGGTTCGTCAAAATAAAATCGTTTGAAAATGAGTCAGATCAACACTTACAAGTAAAGAATAAACTAATTTTATTTTTCACCGAACTTCCATTTTATCTCTTATTTTATTCTAACTGGGGATTACTTTCTGCGCAGATTTGGTTAAAGGACGCGGTACAGTGTCGAGATTGCGGTATGGTGTGCCACAAGAAGTGCGAGGTGCGTTGCCAGGCGTCCGGCACCTGCGGCGCGGAGAGCCTAGCAGCCCTGGCATTGGAGGCCGATGAGATCGAGCCAAACGTCGGGGATATCTCTAGCCCGGAGATCTCTCTGACAGGATGCGAAGATAACGTACAGGTACTCAAGACGTAGTTAGGGCATTTTGTTATCCGCGAGCGAGTAATCGTTTTGAATTTTGCATTGCGATAAGTGATTCTTCCACACGAGACAACAAATTCGGACCGAAAGGGAAAAAACGCGCAATCTTCGATATTGGCATTTAGAGAGCATTTGTCCTCTTTTTTTTAGGAGAAATTTATCTTGTCAGTATTCTTTAACATTAAGTTGAAAGCAATATGGGTATTTTACCTTCTAGTCCGATGCTGTGAACTTTATGATAATTGAATAATACTAACATTTTGTATGTTTGTATTATAATTTGTACACCACAATGTTTCTTTATGTTTACACTAATGTGTAATTTGTAACCACATCACGATGTTAAATCGTCAAGTATTTTGCAAGTGCTCTACGACTTGTAATTTTTTAGAAATCATACGTTCCTTATATTATAAATTTAACATTGCCTAATATTCATATTTTATCAATGTAAATAAGGAATATTTACAATCATTATAAAAAAAATTATATAGTATTATATAATATTATTATAAGTATAATATTATATAATATATAATATATAGTATACTAATTTTTAAAAATACTATATATATATATTTATAATACTTATTTGTTTAAAAGTATTTTTTAATGTATGATGAACTTTGGTTTGCATTTTGAATATGCTCAGTTCTTTTACTGTTTTTATTATTTATTTATTATTTTATTTATTGTTTTTTCATCCAGTTATTCGAAAAAGACCCATTTGTTATGTGATATTTTTGTTGACATATTATTTTAAGTATTGATCTGTGATCAACAAGTAATTTTATCATTCTTACATATCGATGAAATATAGGAGCGTTTGATGATATGTCACATGATTAGGGGACTGTACAATATTCGAGAACTCACGTGTGTCCTTAAATGCATTTATCTTGATATTTTGTATATAGAGAGCAGAGATTGTTATGCGTGAACTTGCAACTCCTGTTGTTGGCAATAAAACGTACTGAACATATGCACGGGGAGGTGAAGGATCTTTATAAAGCTTGCACCTTGACCTTGCCTTTGTTCTCAATGAACCACATACGATACGAGTAGATAAATAAGTTTAATTTCCTCTCTCGTATGAAACCACCCACGTTTCTGTTCAATTATCGATAAAGTATACAATCTACACATACGTACCATTTTTTAGTATTCTGCAAAATATGTCAAAATTGTTGCTTTTTCGACGCAGATTTCTATGGCGTGAATATATACAGTATCCAATCTACTCATCGGTCTAATGTGTTTCAGAATTTGGCTGGTAAGAAATTGACAAATACAAAGCGTTCTGAAATCCCATAGACTCTATACTTTATTGATAAAACAATGTACACTTTACAACGAAAATAGGCACAGTCACTTTTGCACTTTTGATTTATTATTTTACGGATAGCTTGTTATCGTGAATGGTGAAAAGGTATTAATCTATTTGAAATCCATTGATCGATTAATCAGGGCGCAAGTATGATGGCCGTGAAGGCTAGTATAGCTAACACTCTGTTGGGCCTGAAGAAGGCTGGAAGTACCAGTTGCCTGGCCCCACCGGCTTCCGGTATTGGTCTGGCATCTCGAAGTCTCCCCCCAAGTCCCTGTGCATCCCGCAAGGTAGAATAACAACACAAATTTGTTCGCCCGAAGCGGAGAAGGATCGCATGTGCTCGATTTCAAAAAAATATTATCTAACAGAAATTCTAAGCAGGATTTATCCGTTAACATTGCAGTTCTAATGAGCAGAGGATACAATGGAAGAATTTTAGACGATAAAATAATTAGATTATTTTTAATCTAAAAAGATTGTATAAAAGTATGTCGAAACATGACATGTCGTAATTAGATTAAATTTGAATTTGTCTATATTCAGCAAGCATCTTTTGTATTTTCAACAAATTGCATTACAGTCGAGAAACCGCAGTAATTTCAGTGAATCGTTTCTTTCTTCTCAATAGTGAATCATTATGCGACTTTTCATTTAATCGCCACAGTTTTCTTATCAGAGTCGCATCAAACCTTCTCCGCTTCTTCCACTTGTCTTCTCAAATCGAAACGAAAGAAAATAATACGCTCTTTGGAAGATTTTCCATATCTTGCAGTTCTCATGCTTGTGTGTTTATTCACTTCAATCATTCCTTCATCAATCATGCGTTACAATCGCCATCGAAGATACAAGTTAACTCGCACGCAAGAATGCAAGATAAATAAATTGGTAACTAGCATATTAGGGATAAATGAATAGAATTTGAGACACTTTTGGTCAAATTAATCATTAATTTTTTATAGATTATTTAACTAGATTCTTTGATCCCTTAATGTTCAGCGAACACTTGTCATTCACAAATTATTATTTTCATCATGAAATGTTTCTATCGCTTGCCCGAAACTGCTGCAAGTTTTCTCATTGACGAAGATTTTCAACAACACTGACGAGCGCTGATCACGGCACTGATTGCATTGCAATTGCACCTTAACACTGGAGGCAAGGCTTGCATACGGTGATCATGTAGATGTAGGAAGATCAATGCGACTCACACGCATGATCGGCTCGAACGCTTGATTATGTTTCACATTCCGAATCTGCATAACATCGAACGAGGATGCCCCTCGCAGAGATCGCACAGCAATTAATCAATCTGATCGAATTGTTGAAACGTTTAGAGTTCATTGGCTGGAGGTCTGGGAATAAATCCTGACCTCTTGGAGGGTGCTGAGCCAAGTGTTGCAGCTCCACTTATGGCCGGTGACTTGGACGACGGGCTTATGTCAAGGGCCAGGGACACCGGTAAATTCTTGTACAAGTACCTGGAGCCGCAGGAGCGCGTCGAGAAGATCAACGCCATGGTACGCGAGACAAGTTCTTTTTGTACATGCAAGTAATTTCGAAGTGAATAAACTCGAGAGAGAATTCGTTGCACGGATCTACAAATCTATGGACTACTGAATCGAGGTGTTCAGATACCCAAGGATTTCTACAATCGAAGAATACTCGAACTTTGGATCATTCTGACTTAATGACAAAACAAAATATTTATATGCTCGAGATAAAAAATGTAATGAGAATACGCCTGCTAAACTCTGTGTCTCTTCTGTAGATGGGAAAATTGAAGAACGCGCTAGACGCCGAAACTACCTCAAGATTGGGGCTGTCCCAGAACGGGGACGCGGACAGCATGAAACTGATCGCGCAGAGCGACCTGCGAGTACAAGCGCTAAGCGTGCTGCTTTTGCACTACTGCGCCGGCTTGCAACACGCGCAGGAGGCGGTGGACCGACCACAAGCCAGCAAGGAATCTTAACAGGAGCGGATACAATAAACGAGGCAGCTTTAAGAGAAAATTGTCCCCCCATCATTTCTCTCTTTCTCTTTCTATAACAATGAATGTGGAAAATGTAGCGATATTTGATAATGGAATAATAATGGTTTGCTTTTGCCATTTATTTCGTCATGAGCAACGACTGGATAATATTAACGCGACGTTACATCAATTTTACGCTGTTGATATTGCCGTTTTTTAATATTGACTTAATTATAATATTAATGGATTAATTATAATGTTAAAATTGTAATGTTACACCAGGTTGTATAAAATGCACAGAAATATTTATATTACTATGCACAGATAAATAGGGAGCAAATATCTAACAGTATTTTTAAACATTCCATCGGTGCAGATATCAGAATTACAATTATATGTATCACTTTTTCTCGTTTCTACTATTTACTGTAATAATATTTTAGAAAGCGTTATTTATGTAGCATTATTATAACGTTACGTAACGATACATTTTCCAAAATTTAGCGTTAATGTAACGTTATAAACATTATATCATAATATTACAAAGAGAAAAAATGTGTGTATGTTTGAGCGCGTGTATGTGTGTGCGTATGTTTATTTTTGAATACATATTATGCCATAGCTGTTCCAAAGCCTATTCTACATTAGTCAATTGATTAAACTTTAATACTATTCACACGAGTGACGGTAGGAAGAGATGATGAAATATAGTATTTAATTTATTAGTCAAAATTTTTTCGTAATCGCAAATCTTTAATGGCAAATATTTTATTAATTATATTATTTTCTCGAAATCGTTTTTGAAGAGGCTTTGTATTATTTTCCATATCTCATTTAATTTACGGAATTTAATTTTAACAATTGCAAACGAATACGTAATTTTTCGCATTGTATAGAATTAATCGAAACTCTGAATATGTATTACGCATGTAAATAATACTACGTAAATTACGCACGCAAATGATTTCGTGTATCTAAGGGCTTCTGATAATTTTGTCGATTTGCGTGTTATAATTTGCATTACATACGTAGCCGGATAATACTCAGAGACGGGATATCGTTCACTAAGAGAGAACACCAAACTCGTTAAAATTAGTATTAATAGATCGTTATAATAATAATTGCAATGTACGTAGAAAGATGCGTGTGTATTCACACAACAAGGGAATGGCTGCGTTCGGCAGAAAAAGCTGCTTTGCAACTGTTGTAAAATTCATAGATCTGATTGGCATATTCTCTTAAATTTATTCAAGATTAAGAGAATACGCCAATCAGATTCACGAATGTTACAGCAGTTGCAAAGCAGCTTTTTCTGCTGAACGCAGCCAATGCTTTTGTTTGACAAACGATATGCGTTATCTAAAAATAAAAGCTTTCCGTAAAACAGCGCGATTCTCCAAACGCCTAATAAATACATTTTGTCTGGTAACAATTTTGTGCGATATTAAATTCGCGAATGTAACGTGTGATGGAGCATATGTTATAACGTGCGAATTTATAAGACTATTTATAGATTGAGATAACGATCTTTCGCGATCGTAGGTGATGATCTGTACTGGATAGTTGTTGAACACGGTGCACGGGGGTTGTGCATTGCGCCAAAATACGTGTGATAAAAAGGCTATCTTGCACGGTTCTAATAACATTTTCAGATCTCACGTCTCTTTTGACAAAACAATTTAAACCAATTTGCGATTATAACGCATCATTAAAACAATGTTTGACAGAAGTGATTTTAATATCTGCATATACTGCTTTCTATGTCTCTATTAAATTACATTCCTACTCTTTATTTATTATATAATTCACTTTTGGATTATAATCGTACAAAGGAAATGAAAACAGATGCCATGACTCGACAGCTTTTCAGTGTCTTAAGAATCGCAGATGGTGCCAAATAACTTAAACCTCAACACAGAACATATCTATGAAGTGGAACAACTATACCGAACGGTATTAAACTGTATATTCGCGCATTAAAGGCGAAGAGAGTGTACGTTTACGATACTGAGAGAGCTAGGAGTGAAAGAGTTGGCGTTATGTTTAGCATTAGATATGATTCTGCGATTCCGATCTCTACTTATGTAAAAAAAAAAGATGCATTCGGCCTGATGGCAATTGGATGGTCACGTGTAACGCTAAATGCGCTGAACGAAATACAGATCTTTGACTGTTGAATCTATAATCAAAGAACTTTACCGCTTTGGCCTAAATCGATGATATTGATATGACGACCGGCGAAGAAACTGATGCAAATTTTGACTGTATTTAACTTAATTGTTCACAGTGCATTTATAGACGTACGAGAGGCAGCTTCGTATTAGCGAAATCCATCCATAAGCATTTTTGTGTGGCCGTAATTTAAGGTGTTGCGCGTCTCGCGATTACAAACCGATATGTATTATCGCTCATTGTTATTATATATAAAGTGGACATAAAGGTGGAATATAGATTGTTATAATCGTCGTAAATCGCATGCTATTTATATACGCCCTAGTATGTACCTCCTAACTGCGGTCCATTGAAATTTGAGAATTGCGCGACTTACAAAAATGGTTTTCTAATCGGAATTCTCATCTGGAAATTAATCGCAGATAGCATATTAATGCGATTACAAAAAATATTAACTGTAAATTATTTACCCCGCTATTTTTTTTGTTGCGAATTGACATTTAGGCTGAGTAGTATTTTTCGCAAAGGCTCGATTCGATTTAAAAACCGAGCGAGTACCGGAACGAGGTACGACAAAGTGGTAACGACCGGAAGTTCACCGTATCAAGTTCCTGTAACGAACACGTTGCGCCCGTCGTAGACGGCACTTTGTTTGTGCGAGGAAGGCTTTTGCATCTTTGCTTTTTGATTCACCCTCGTATATAAAGGCGCACGTGCTGCGGGAGTGCTCTCGGCGCTGCTGAAGAGATACACAAAAGTCGCAATAAAAGTCACCGAGGCAGGACGGGCCGCGTCGTCGGGTCGTGTTGTTTCGCGCCGGGGAAATTCCGCGACGTGAGAAATAGACATTCGCGAAAATCGAGGTCGCGTGAACGCGCGTCACGAGCGCGCGTACGACATTTCTGTCGCGGACGTCCTTGCTAAAGACGTATTATAAAGCCTTTATATTCGCATATGCATGTAAAGCCTTTCGCGGTCAACTATATCATCGGTATCAGTTATAACGTCTATTTGTTCTTGTTTATTCGTGTATTCACTTGTGTATTCGCGTGTATTGCCAGATAGCACAGAGAGCACAAAAGACTTCCCCATTCATGAAGCGAATGCTGCTTCCATCTCATTTCTGTTGTAAAATTATTCTTAAACGTTCAAAATGAACTTGCTTTTATGCCACCAATTCTAAGCTCTTTTCCGGGTAAAAAAAGAATTCTTTTTATACTCTATAAGAGCTCACATCGGGAAGGAATTCTTTTGGAGTTCACTTTGAACAGACGTTAATTCATAAAGAATTTTAAAAAGTGAATCCTTTACGAATTCATTACGATCACCTGTGCTATGTGGGTTCACTCTTCCCCGAAGATTCCAAGGAGACTTTTGTCTGACTTTCGTTCCGTCGAAGAGAAAAATTGATTTCCCAAACAACACGTATGTGTACGTCTAATCTAAAAGACATATTTAAGATGTCTTTAAATCGTCTTTTAAATAGTATGTCCAAAAGACAACTTAAAGACGTCTTAAAGATGTCTTTTAGACATACGTGCTGTATGGATTGATTATTAATATAAAAGCGCGGTAAGGACCCAATCTGCAAAATGTTGCGATTAAATACGAATTTTTTATCTCAAGGTGGGGGATGCACGATGAGAATAGTGAGGACGTCAAGGGAGGCACGTGCTCGCCGTACGTCCGGCTGTTTTTGTGAAATCATCGCCGCTCGCGTAGACGATTTCCCAGTAAACATCGAAAACCGAAGACGCAGTTGAGGAGAGACGCGAGGCCGCGCGTTACAAAGAAGAACGGGACGAGCGTCAGCGGCGACGGTGCCGCAGGGCCAATGTACGCCGCTTGGCGAGGGTGTGAGCCAAGGTGTCCTCCTCCCCAACGAAGAAATAAAGACGAGAACGGAAGCCGGCCAGCCAACGCAGAAGCCGCGAAGTTACTCCTCTTCTGCATCTATCAATGTGCCGATGGACGCTGAGGGTAGATGCAGAAGGCACAGGTCGTTATCGGGTGAAAAAGGAAAATTCACTTTTTTGAATTCTTTATCAATTAGCAATTTAAATTTGAAGAAAAGGTTATTCTACATTTTTAATTTCTGACTGTGGACAGTTATGTACTATTGTAACTTCTCTGACTATACTTACTGTTTTATTAATTGCGCTGGACATGAACGTGAAGAAGAGGTTCGAAACGTTCGCATTTTGGGAATTTTATTCTTTCCTATCTTTTTATTTTATTGTGTACTTGCTTTCTCTTTTGACTCTAATGGCCTTTTTATTTAGATGATTGAAGAAAAAGAATTTCTTCCCGGTAATTTAAAAAGAGACTTTTCATTGAAGTGTACCTTTGAAGTTTTTATGAAAGTAAAGTTATTCTGAATACAAAGAATTCCTTTTGTGTCCGAAAAACAGTTGAGAATTGGTGACATAAGAGCGAAACTGTTTATACTCTATAAGAATAATCCATTTTGAACTACCGAAAGGAGTTCATTTTGAACAGATCACGCTACTTCATAAAGGATTTTAAAAAGTGAATCCATGTGGAACTCGTAACGATCATCTGAGCTATTTGGATGTATATTAATGCAATCAAAAAGCCCAAATTAAAGAACAATCGAAAAATGTCTAAATGAATGAAAGGATGTATCAAAATATTTGAAAAATACGAAGATCCAAATATCCAGAAGTTCTTTAAGGACTAGAAATTTAAAAGCTCGGGAATCCGAGAGTTTTGAGATATATCGAGATTGATGTCTGATCCTCGCGTAGATAAATTACAAATATTTTCAGAATCAAAGGATTCGGAGACCTAAGAATACAGAAGACACAACATTTTATCCAAAAGGATCAGGAATATCCAACAAGTATCAACATTCCTGACTGCCACAGATCGGATCCACGCACCCTCGGCCTCCTCCCCGTGTTCTGGTCTTCGTCATTTCGTGTCCTACGTCGCACGGAGAGGCGAAAACGACGAAAGAGAAGTCATGGGGGATTTTGGTCCGCGGCTGTCTATTTTCGTCTGCAAGATGTACGCGCAGTATCCTCTGGCCGCGGGCCAAGCCCACCGCGGAACCGTATAAACATTTTGTCCCTGTTGAGCACTGAGCTTCACGATGAATGGAGAGCAAAGTCCTCTAACGCGGAGGAAGAAGAAGCGCCAGAGTGGGGTTGCAGACGGTGGCGGGATTCGTTTTACCAGCGCGTCTTTGTCGTTTCTCTTCAAGAAATACGCGAGGCTTCAATTACGAATAAAACATTTCGATAAAGACGCAAAAGGGAAGAGAAAACAATTTTCTATTTTATAGCAAGCCGAATATATCGCCGACGCTTGCGATTAAAAATGAAACGGAAAAAAACACACCTTTGTAAAAATTACTTGTCTTTCATAAACAGGAAAAAGAATAACAGCTTGCCAACGGCTTCACGAAAGATGTCTAAAGGCAGTCGATTTCTCGCTTCTCCGCGGTCTTGGCCAAAATTAAACGTGACTGCGTATTCGCGTCGCTTTGTACCGCGAGTCGCGTCCGTAATTGCGTTTTGGCAATTTCACAAATTTCTCCGGACACTCGCGTGATAATTCACCACTACAGCGAAACAGTGACGCACGTTTCTGCCGTGATTTCCCAAATGTTACGCTGAATTGCGCATAGTAAAGTGACTAGCACGTGGTAAAACGGTAAATATTTATTGCGCTCTTTGAAATTTTTTTTCGCGAGCCAGTTTCATCTTTGCGAAATTACAATTGCCGACGGAGAAATATATGATGACAATACTTGAGTCATGTCAATTAATATTTCAGGTTCATGTCGTTTGTGAGCAAATTTGTTGAGCAAAGATAAAATAGTGTGCTGTATTTTAGCATAGATAATGGAATCCGGAATGGCGCAGTGGGCAGTTTGCCCTGACGCGGTTTACAAAGTATTATCGATCTTCATTTCGCGTGTCAGTTTGAGTGAACAAATTTCGCACGTACACGCGGAGAAACCGGATGCGCTGCTCCGTATGCACAAATGTATCTTCATATTTCTTAGAGAGAGAGAGAAAGAAAGAGAGTGTGTGTCTGTGTGTGTGATATGACCGGTGAAATGATATATGATTTAAGCAGAGTTGGGAAAGTTACTTTATAAAAATAACTAGTTACAGTTTTTTTTGCTAAAAATGTAACCAGTTACAGTTACAAGTTACCAATTCTGAAAAGTAACGCGTTACCGTTACAGTTACTAAAAAACGAATCGTTACTTTGCAGTTACTTTCTTGCAATTAAAATAAAAGTATCAACTCTGCATTTGAATTGTAAAGTGTCGATAAAGGCGTTTATGCGCAAACGCAAGGCCTAATGTGATCTGTGGAGGTTTAAAATACATTAAAGTAACTCTTAATGTAACTATTAAATTAGTTACTAGTTACCGAAACAATGTAACTGAGTTAAGTTACAGTTGCAGATGGAGAGAAAGCAATGAAGTTAAGTTACAGTTGCCAAACAAAAGTAACCGTAACTGTAACTCCGTTACAACTAACGAGTTACTTCCCAACCCTGGATTTAAGCCTCAGATATATTTTGCTGTGCGGGTATAACTGAGCGCAATATTTTTTTACAATTTTTACAAAAGGAGATGTTTGAAGATACTTTTAACGACGCGCAGAGTAAAGGTCCAGGCGTAGTAAAGTGATTTGCGATGGAAGGAGGCTATATCTTGGCTTGGAAAACTTCTTTGTTCGAACAAAACTGCGCAGTCGAAAAGCTCGGTCAACACCGACATCCGAGATTTTTCGTTCCGATGTGTAATCTCGATTTTTTTCTTTAACGATACTTTGTTAGCTTGTGATTGTGCTGCTGTGAGATGAGTCATAATCTATATAACGAAATCAAAACTGAAACCGTAGAATTGTCGAGCCTCAATTTAATCCTTGAGTATGTACATGATTTTTTCTAGTGAAATTGCGAATTCTTTTATATTACAATTTCAGTAATTAGCATAAAGTCGAAACTATTGAATTTCGTACAATTTTCAAATTGAGGAATTGAAATAAATTTTCTTCGTATTAAGAAAATATCGCGAAGAGAAGATTTTTTAAAATTTATATTGTACTTTGCTCTTGACGTTTATCCAATTGTATTATCAAGATTTCTTAAGGAAACTGCTTCTCCGTCTTGAAGAAATCGCGGCGAAGATATCATTTCAATGGGAAAGTTGAAAATCTCAGTGGCAATTTTAGAGATTCTAAAACAGACTTGAGAAAACCCCGAAGAAATTCTGAAAGAGTAGAAACAAAAAGCGAAGAAAGCGATCTTAACACGCGGTGTTAACGCGAGAGACACTCAATTTAAAAAGTCGCACGATCTTAAAGCGGCAATTTATTAATTGACCATTTTTCCTTCATTCTCGAAACAAAAGAGACCCGGAGAGACCCCGAGGAAACCCTGAAACAGCAGGAAAACCTTGAATAAACGTGATTCTAACGCGGAAATCCCGACGTCGAATTTGACAGCTTGCATGTCGCGCAGTGCATCTGGCTGCGTTTGTTTTCAAACAAAGAGAGGGAGAGTGGCCACACACACACACACACACAAAGTAGTCAGCTGTTTCGAGACGCTTCCCCGATGGCGGGGGAAGTGGCGAAGGCTTAAATAGCACCGCGAACACTTGTGCAGGCAGTGTCGAACGGAGTCACCTGAAACGGGCCTCGGTCGCCGTGATAGTCTTCAGACACGTCGAAGGGCCGAGGACCTGCAAAGTCCTTGCAAGTTGCGCGGGAAGTCGGCCGGACCTGCGTCCCGCTGAAGTTCACTCGCGAAAATCCCTTGGCGGTCACGCTCGAGGTAGACTTTGTCCTGGATACCATTCTGAAGTCGTGCGAAAGCCTGGAGGAAACCGCGCGGTGAAGAAATCGGAAATCCGTGTTCTCTTTACAACTAGATGATCCTTGGACGAACGCTCCGGTTTTATTCGAATTAAATTCGACTCCCGCGAGAAGTTTTCGCAAAGAGAAATACGCCTTCGGAAACGTTTCGGGTCCATTGGAATCTGTGCGGGTTTTCATCCTGGCAAAGTTTTCTACGCAGAAGAGATCGTTTAGAACGGAATTGAAGTATATCTTCTGGATTTCTAACCGAAGCCTCTCTGCCTGCAGTGCACGGCCTTACCGGATACAGTTTGGATCTTTTTGCCCGTGAAGGGTGTGTAAACTTCACGTAGAGAATAACAGCCGTCTAATTGAAGCTTATAAGATGTTCTTCTGGCGATTATAGTAGGAACTCGAGTAAGAAAAGATACCGCAAGAGTAATTGTTCCCCGGCGAATGTGCGAAGATCCTTGCTGATTTTCGTCACGACGAACTCGAAACATTTACATTCGCGCGCTTGGAAGTCGTAATCCCTTGTATAACGAAGTGTGAAGAAACATGAGGCCGCCGTATAACGAGGGAGAGGTGCAGCAGATCTCGCAGGAGCAAGGTGAGAGAAATGTCGCGATGGCAGTTTGCGTGCAACTGGCCGGTCGGGCGATCATCAGGGTGGTTTCACGGTGCGAAGAGGCCCAAGATAACTGCAATCTAGGTAAGGCTGGCAACGAGAAGAACATCATAAAATTAAAGGCGTCTAAGATCTTAAAGATTTTCCTCGGATATCTAGAAAAATTCCTGGAACGTTCCTTGGATCAAAAGACGACTTGAATCTTTGCATTTAAATTCTTTTAATTTCTTGTTAATTTCTTGTACTTCAATGCAGTTTCAACGCTAAAATGTAGCAGGTCTATACTCGACTCGCAAATCAAATACAAATATTGAATATGATAGACGTGAAAGAATCTTCGACTTGGCAGATTTTCGATGTTAAACTGAGCAGCGTCTCGCGAGCAACGTCACCAACTAATTAAAATCGTTCGTTAGAAAAATTATCTTACAAAGAGACCGAGCTTGTAAACACTACATATGCGCGGTCAGTATCGACTGCACTTTCTGATTCAAGACAACTGTCACCCTTGCCTTATCTGTGACGTCGTCTGCGCACACCGTGACCTTCATCAGCAATGCATTTGCTACTTTTAATGTGCCGGTGCTTGTGACTCACTGTCTTTCAGGAAGCGTATCCTATAGATTACGCGCAGACTGTAGTCAAACGCGGACCGTAATTAGTGAGCGTACAATTAAAAATAATATAAATTCAATTTCTAAATGTACAAAATCTCTAAAACCGGGATTTTCTATACAGACGAAAAAACTGTGGACGCTGAGTGAATGTTCACAAAGTCGAAACGTACGCGCAAACGTTCACGATGTTTGGTGCACATGTCTACGAGTTCAGTCTTCAAAATCTATTGTGAAGGTTTCCGCGCAATCAGAAACCTATTGTATAATACGGATCGCAGTCACATATGAACTTATGGAATAAGAGAACTGTAGTAAAAACAGTTTAGTCATCATTAACCGGCCAGTAATGTTTTAATACAGATAATTTATTGCGAAGAATACCCTGGCTGAGCTAAAAAGCTTGATTATTGTTATTTATTACTGGCAACTTAAAGAGATTTCTATGTTTCGTTAGTGAATTAATATCAAACATCTAAGATTCCCTTGAATTTACACGCGTGTTCGGAATCGTTGATAACAAGAAATACGCTGTTAAAAGTTTTATCGATGTTTTCAAATATATCTTAATTAATATTAAGGACTAAGAGAGACGATCTGATACCAACGGCTTAGAAGGATAATGAAATTCATGATATTAATGATTGTATGGTACTGGAGATTTGTTAAAAGTCCAACAAATTGCATTATAAATCCGATTGGAGAACTTGTGAAAGTTCCATAAATCTGAAACTGGAGAACGCAGTTTCTACGATATAAACGTGAGATTCACAGAACAAGTCAATTATCGGATTTCGATAAAGAAATCCGATAAAAAATACCGCAAGCGGCGAGCGGTTTAGATCGCAATAACGCGTTTCTGCGTATTGTCACGTTAATATATCTTATCTAATGCATTATCGGTGACTCAGTTTGCTTTGTACGGCTAACGAACTCTCCTACTTTCTTCGAGATTTGTTTGATACGCTCTTTCTCACACGCGCAACGCTACAATTATGCATTAAAAGAAAGGGGGAGGGAAGCAAGGAACGGCTAATAAAAATTTATCTACGAGCGTCGGGACGCAACGTATTGGCGATTTCCTGCTGCGGCTCGGCAAAAAAAACTTATAACATAGTTCCGTAGAAAGTGCGGATCATGCCAATGACACGTACTCATCGCGTAAAAGCAATCGCATAGTACGTGAAAAACACTTCCGTTCTACTTTGCAATTGCAATATTAATTTCACTAAAGACAAACAGGTGCAATTATATCATAACGAGCAGCGTATGGAAAAAGTGTATAGCGAATAGGAAAAGAGCGCGCAGGGGGGGGGGGATTAAAGGACCTTTCTTTTTCTTTTCGCTTAATTTTTCTGGGACACGCCGCTTTGTGAAACAGCCCGAGTCGAGTATTCGGTCCCGAAATGGGCCCCAATTATTCCATTCTGTCTTCATTGGGAGCTCGGTTTGGAACTTCAATTTCAGGCCCAGGTGAGTAAAAGTTCGTTGTGTTCAGCCACAATCTAACCCTCGAAGAGGATGTAGTAAAATATTTTGCCCTCTTTGAAATCTCTTAGGCCGAAGAGGATCGATAGCGAGTCTTTTCGGGCCTTTCTGAGATTAAAAATCCAATATATTTTCTCCGACACGAAGACCTTAGTTCGATTGCTTCCAACTCAAAAGTGATACGAGGCTAAGCTGGGACCAAAATATTCGACTCGGGAGATCACAATGATGTAAATGCAACGATAAATTACAGCTGGTAACTTGCGTTTTAATGTGTTTTTACGATTCTTAAGGCATTAAAATTTCCTGCTCGTTAAAAATCAGCAGGACATTTGGCGAACTGAGCCGTCGCTACAACAGTTAATAAAATCGAGGACTGTGCGCACGGGGCTGCCGGCGGTAGAAAAGTTACGCGGGACCGGATAAATAAACGGATGGCGTTTCTCGAGCATCAGCTCTCGGATAAAAGTGAAATGCTCGCTTCGCAACTCTGGCATAGATAATTGACTGGATAAACATTGGCGTTACACAACGCGCGCGCGTATCCGGCCTTTGTCTCCTTCCTTCTCGCGTCGCGGGGCCTCGCGGGGCAGCCGGCGGATCCTCCGGGCGTCTCTTCGTCTGGTACTCGCGCGTGTCTTCGAGACACCCGATGCACGCGCGAAAGGTCGATCTCGGAATAGTGAGGCGGAGGAGCCTTGGCAGTGCTCGTCTTAACGCGCTCCGAATATATCGCCGGCAGGCTATTCCTCCTTTATGAACCTTTTCACTGTACAGTACGGTGCATTAGTGCGGTTCGGGTGTTAATTGGGGACGGGCCGAGATTACTTGATTGTTTAAACGTAGGTGCTTTCCGATGATACGAACCGAATTAATGCACCGCGCTGTACTTCTCTTAAATGCGAGACATTGCGATACGAACGAAGCGACAAGGAACGGCCGCGCTAGCGTACTAAGGCCCGGTTTCACCAAACGTCTCACTTAACTTAATGTTCTTAGTTTAATTCATGTTTGTCTTTTTCTAAAGTAACGGTTGCAAAGAGACAGAACGAATTGAGCTAAGCTAGACATACATATCTAAAAAGACGACTTAAAGATGTCTTAGAGATGTCTTTTAGATATGCGTGCTGTATGGACTGTGTCGACGATGCTAGAACTTGATCCAAGTTCTAGTTCCGAGAAATGTGTTCGCTAATCGATTTGCAACCTTTATGGAGTGGCTGCAAGTTGATTGGCTACACGTTTCTCGAAGTTCGAACTTGGATCAAGTTCTAGACACAGGTCTTCAGTCTCTTTATGCTAAATGACCACAAAAGGTCGATGGCGTTCCCGGAAAGGAAATATATATATATACATATAAAAAGAGTAATGAGTATCTGGTACCATTTGATCTTTCACTGATTCCAGATCAGGTCTGAGTCATGGATTTCTGAGTCATGGATTTCTGAGTTCGTAGAATCGCGATGTGTTACAAGCTCACAATGGCAAGGATTTACTAAAACCGACATTAACGTGGATTAAAAATCAGATATTGAATCTTCGATATCGTTCAACGAGATATGAAAATACGTCTCATAAGATTAATCTCCTTTCTTCTTTATCCCGGTCGCCGTTATAGACAAACACTGCTCCGCTTTAGCGGGCGTCGGAGCTGAGGCTTTCGTGCGTCGTGCGTGGAAGAAAGAGATCCCGCGTAAGAATCTAGAAATGCGGGAACTTTCCAGCGCACAAACGCCGTCTACGACGCGGGCGGTTTCCGTATAGGGCCTCGCGACCTTAAATGGTAGCTTGGCTATTGGGCCTCTTTTACCACTTTTTGGCGAGGAAAAACGATCGCGCGCACTAGCCGCAATAGCGGCAAGTAACTTTCATACTAATTGCACAATGACTCTCACACTAATTGCACAATTCCTCGCTCGAGCACTTTACCCCCGCTTATCTCTTGCACGGATTGTAAGGCAACGATACAATCCAAATACTCGTGTTTGCGAAAAAAAGATTTGAAACTCCATTTTTCAATCTGATTGTAAGTGGAAATAAAGAATAATTTTTGTAGAACAGTATCAAGCGAATAATACATTTGGTTTATTATAAAAAAGAGCATACTTTAATTAACTACGATCAATTAAGTTGTGCTTTTTCCCCCCTTGGGAAAATACACCTTAGAAAACCTTAAGATTTTCATGACAGACAGACAGTCGTGTTAAAACCTTTATAACGGATTCATCTCTGTCGACGTGTCTCCAGTTCTCTTTATGTCCGGGAACATTTAGAGAAGAAAAATGAGACCATGATAGAAGAATGATTCTTGAACCATAATTTAACGAGTTATACTGAAGAAGACCCGAAACAGGGTCGAAACGTTTATATTAAAGACAGAAGTTATTTCTAAATTTGTGAGAACCGTCTTCCGTTCATTTGTAGCTCACATTGGCACTTTTCCCGTTCCATACAACTTAAGATTTTACTTTAGCAAAATATGACAAGTAAATTTGGACACGTGAAACGTTTATTTTAAGGTAAACTTGAAACTTACTTTAAGAATTTAAAAGAAAACTTTACGAATTGTGAAAAGTGATTTATAATACCGCGTGCGGTTTTCTTCTTACGAGAAAGTGCCGCGCGACCCTCTAGCGGGAACTTCGACAGACTTGGCTACCTAAAAATTACTTTAAGTGTCCAAAATTTCTCAAGTAAGCTCTTGGATTTGTGAAAGATTACTTATGGAAACTTGAATTTTATTTAAAGTAAATTTGCCCAGGGGCCTCTCTTTCCCCTGCGCTCCAGTCAATCGAATCCAAGGCTGTTTGATGACAATCAAGAAATAATCGGGCAAGTTCGAGATCCCCGATAAAAAGAAACACATTGCGGCTCATAAAAATAAATTCTATCAGAATGAAATGCAAGGCCACGCGATTCCGGGATTCCGAGCAATCGGCCTGTCACGGCCTGCCGTGGCAACAAAGAACAATCTGACGGCTACTTTCACGCTTGTCCCTCTTGCCGTACGCTATAAAAAAAAACCGCCAAATCCATTAGTCGGTTAATTAAGCTCGCGGAGCATTTACGAGACGTGATGTTCTAAATCTTCGATTTCCGGCGGAAAACGGGAGACAGCGCGCGCGCGCGCACTCGTTCCGGCCATCGCGGAACAAGTCCGCGCGCCTCTCCGACCTTCCCCCTCGGTAACCCACGATTTCCGAGTACGAGACGTGATGAGTATCACGGCCGACCAGGTGGTGGGATTTATTTCGGCAGGCGCGCACAGAAATAAATGCTTCAAACGCGGCCGGAGCCGCGGCCGGTGAGTCAGTGCGACGGCCACGATGGCGAACGCCGTGACGAGAGTGGTTCATCGCTGCGAGGAGGCGCAGGAGAACGAGAGCCTCGGTAAATTCGGCGAAAGCGAGTACGCGCGCGGTTCCTTTTGCCCCGGGTTCCAGTTTCGCCAGGGAGGACTGTTAATCCCACGAAAACGGATCCCACCGTTTCGCGACGGGGGTTTCCACCGCGTGCGTTTTCGCAACGCTCCTCCGCCTCGCATTGGTGCGCGACCGCGCGGCCGGTGGCGGACATTACGAAAACGCGACTGGCGCGGTGCTCGACACGAAGAAATTTCGTTGTATAATTGTACAGTTTTCTCCTTGCGTCAGATTGGGAAATTTCGATGCCCGACGGTTCACGTTTGTGGACGCGCAGGTGGCACGGGGGAGCGAAAAGGATTCTTTTCGAATTCCCGAGTTGTGAAATGAATTCTTCTTCCGTTCCAATTCTGTTCGGAGGGCAATTCGAGAAGAATCTCGATCGGATGCTAAATAATTAAGGAATTCTTTTTGTTCTACAAGAATAACCCCTTTCTTTAACTGCCGAAAGGAATTCTTTCGAGCTCATTCTTATGTCAATTCATGGAGGACTTTATCATTTTCCAGACAGCACAGAGAATTAAAAAAAAATTCTTTTTAAATGCCCAAATTATAAAGTGGATTCTTGTTCATAAAGAATTTTAAAAAGTAAATCTGTTTCGTAACTTCCAAGATAGCACAGAGAATTCGAAAGAAATTCTTTTTGAATTCTCCAAAGTATGAGAAATTCTTTTCCCATCCTATCTCCGTTTTAAAAGCATCCTTAAGTGTTCGGGAAACTTGGCTCTTACGTTACCAATTCTGAGCTCTTTTTCGGATACAAAAGGAATCCGTTTTAAACAAATTACGCTAATTCAGAAAATGCGAACCCTTTTTTAGTTCATAACCGTCACCTAGCTGCTATTCGCGGCTATTTTACAATTTTATCTCTCTTGATCAAATCGAAGAAGAGGGAAATATGTGAGGCGCCATTTTTCTCAATTATTAGAAGTTGATCGAGAATTCGGCAATTTTGTTCTGACCTTAAGAAACGTTAACAAATCCACGTTTGTTGGAACTAAACCGCACGAAGGTGCATTCTGCGCCTCTTCCCGGAACCGCGCGTCTCGATGTTATAATGATCGCGGTGATTGATAAAATATATAATATATAACGCGGAATACGTTTGTTCGGTAACGCGTTCTCGGCTCCCGCGTTCGAGTTAGGCCTCAGCCGTCGACGGTCTTCCGTGCTGGAAACCGCGCCGGAGAAAGCGTGAAACGCGGTGCGCTGACGTTAAGTGCACTTTCAGCAGTTATGATGCGCCTAGACTGGCGTTTTCTCATTTTTTTTTTCGTGTAGCGCGGAGCACTTTTACATTACAATTTCATTATTACAGCTTAACCAATGCTGTCGATACCCGAGCGCGAGAAAGTCATACGTCCCTCAGCGTAGCGTTTATTAATCGCAAGAAGGAACTCTATGCGCGCGCCGCAAACAGCTGATAGGAACGCGAAATAAAATATTGAGAGTAAAAATTTACGTCAGCGCAAAAACATATTACTGATTTCCCCCAATATTTCTTTACTCGCTGTCTATTATTATATATTACTGCGCTAAAAATTACGGTCGAGTATCTGGAGAACGGGACGAGGCATTTATATAATGAGCAGTGGGATGTATGTCGAAAGATACAAAATTGCAATAAATAATGGCCTTCACTTTCATTATTTATGAAGGATGTGCAAAGAGGTTCCACGATATCGAAGACATTAATTTTTATTCCGTTCTTAAAACACGATACCCGTTTCGCAGAATTTATTGCTGAAAGTGATGTTAATTAATTTCGAAACGAGATCACTCCGATTTCTACGCGGCGGCAGAAATTTAACGAGAGACCCGAAAGTCATTAAGCTTAAAGCAACGGCGTTTGTATCGCTTTTTCTTTGCGGGGACACTGTACGTTCTTTCGTTTTACCTTTTAGACTTGTCCGAGTGCCAGCTCATGCAAATCCCGGACGCGGTCTACCATCTGATGCGGCACACGGAGCTGAAGAGATGCGACCTCTCCGGCAACGTGATCACGAAAATCCCGCCAAAGTTCGCCGTCAAGTTCTCTTTAATCACTGGTGAGCGACGGAGCTGTAGAGAACGGTTTTAGATTACCGGCTAAGATTTGCTTTGCGTGAGAAAATCCGCTTTAAAACGCCCCCTATTGTTACGTTGTTATTCGGTAAAATATCGTTTGCAGAATTGAACCTGAGCCACAATCAGATGAGCAAGTTGCCCGAGGAGCTGGCCGAACTGCAAGCTCTGGAAAGACTCGATATCTCGCACAACACTTTCATCGCTCTACCGTCTGTCGCCTGGCGGATACCGCAGCTTAAACGACTTCTCGCCAGCAACAATTTCATCATCGGTCAGTATCGATTAACTTATCGTTATGTAAGGTCTCCATCGAACATCAGCAACTCAAACAATTAACGGGTCGCGCACTACATCTGCTCCTCCCAGAAAGTGTCTTAAAATTACCTCAACGGTATTCTAAAACTATGCAGTCATTGGAATATTTTAGGATACATTGAAAGTCTAGAAATAATTCTTTTTGAATTGTAGAATAAATTCCTTTTCCGTCTCATTTCTGTTCTAAAAACATTCTTCAAATTTCACAAGGAATTCGCTTTTATGTCATCATTTCTGAGCTGTTTTCCAGATACAAAGTGAATCCTTTTATACCCTAAAAGAATTCGTATCGGAAAGGAATCCTTTTGACGTTCAACAGATCACGGTAATTCCCGAAGAATTTAACAAAGCGAATACCTTTTGAGTTTATAACAATCGTGCTATCTGGGATATCAACATAAAATGTTTAATTCAAGGATGAAAATTGATATAACTTCAATGAAATCCCATTTCTGATGCCGTAGAACGTAAAAGAGATCTTGAGCAAATTATAACAGTGATATTTTCTTGAGGTGACAACGCGATTGGTTTCATTCTGCAGATATCGACGTTGAGAGGCTCAGGCACGCACCTGTTCTGGAATACATCGACCTGCAGGCGAACCCATTACCGCGAAGATTGCACGACCTCCTGAGCACTCTGACCAGGATCACGATCGAGCTTACTCCTCGGCAGATCGAGGATTGGGAGGACTTGAACGTTTAAGCCGCCTTCCAAGCGAGAGCAGCTCATTTCGCGATGAAAGACGACGGGGAAGACTGTTCCATCCCCCGCGTCCTCTCGACGAAGATTGCTCAAGACTTCGCGAACTAGAAGTAGAAACGACATTTTGTACAGTGATAACGCGAACTGTGTGATAACGGGTGTCGCGGATTGCCAGGCATGGTCCGCTTGTATCTTTTATAAATGTCACTACTAGTGATTTGTACTTTTACCGCGGATCTGTCACTGATCTCGTGGAGATCGACCGATTCCTAGTTTTTCTTTTATACCGCGTGGATTTTTAGATTTTACCGCGATACCAGCCATGAGCGACGCTGTTGTGTGTGATACATAAATACTTTAATCAACGAATTCTCAGATCTCACGATTCATGAAGTCTTGGGTATCAAAACACCCCCAGTATCGAATCCTTGGGGTCATAAATCATTTGGACCGTTTGGACTTGGATTTCTTTTTCGAATTCTCGAATTTCAAAATCTGCACAGTGAAATGTGCGATCTCTACAACTCGAAAGTCTCGGATCCACAGAGCTTAAGACTCGAAGATATATTTGCAAGACATCAACTTGTCGTTCATGAATGCAACCTGTATCGACTGTATTTTTAACGTAATCCGTCAATGTCGCGGACAATTCACCGCTATGGACTGCCGATATACTACACATATATGTACATCATATAGTGCGATCTTTTTAGTATTTAACATTTTGCACTCGAGTGTCATGTGAAGATGTAATAGAAGATGTTATAATTTTGCACGATAGTACATTTATAAGATATTACGAAACATGCGAAAGTGTAAAAATAAAGATTCCGTAACTCTTTCGTAAATTTACACTCTGAGAACGTTTTACGTGCACCCGCAAATCGTATGCGAGAAGATTAGCGTCTCACAAATTGAGTTTCGGATAGACTCCAAATTTACAACTCGAGTACAAAGTGTTAATAACGAAAGAATAACGAATGACAAAAATACTATTAAGTAGCTATTAACGTCTGGATGTAGGGTGTCCCGTAAAGAAACAGATTTGCCGGCGTAGACTTGCAAATGTCTCCGCGAGATTACGCGCGTTCTGCGCGCGAATAGTAATTACGATTGGAAATTCGTTTTAACTTCCCGTGCTTTTGATCTAGTCAGTTATTCGCGGACGTACGGAAATCTCGAGATTTACAAATACGTAGTTCTGGCCAAACTCGGATTTACGAACAATTACATCCATAACGTTTTTTTTTATAAGATTATTCGAATTTAGGAATTTTTTTTACTTAGAAAAATCAAAGTTAAATCAGAAAAATATAAAACTGTATAAATTCGTAAATCTTTAGTTTCACACAGCTCTGAATTCGTAGAGATTTGAATGTAAAGACGCGCCAGACGTCGTGATATGCAAACAGCACGAGGAGCACGAGAGCGCATTTCTTTTTCAATCATATTTCGCAGGACATCGTTCCTAGTCTATATGTTATATCCTAATTACAATGATTATTATATCGCAATTTGTATCCTATTTATATTTGAATGTATCCTATTCTCGCGAGAGGACTTGCGTTACGGGTCAAAGGAGCTGTTGGTTCGTATTTTTATATTTATTCGCCGAGTGTTCGACGCGCCAGTTGTTGAAATTTTGCGAGTTACGTGTCGCAATTGTACACACGACTTTTGACAGGAGAATAGAAACTGCGCAATGCTTTCGAGACAGATGGGCACTTTTACTCGCTTATAAATTTATACACATTCTGTATTACGTAAAATAAACTATTCAACAGTTGTCGGGCCAATTTTGATACGATGCATGCGTGTGTCGCGGCTATTTATTAATAGTAAATAGTGCACTTGCGTATTAACTTCGACGGATGGAAGGTCGACGTTCTACCTTGAGCCGCAAATATGTATTGTGTACGAATACGTATGTACAGGGTGTGCTGAAAAACGTTTAAAACAAGAAACTCGCTAGTTAAAAAATAAAATAGTATCCAGGAGAAAAAGAAATCCCGTAGCTCTGCTGCGTTTTTATCTACCCTGATTTTATATTCTCAATAAAACACCTTCCACAGCTTTAATTGATATTAGCGCAACTCTCTAATACTCAACTGATTACTTTCTTTTAATTTGAGATTAAATTAGCTTTGTATAATGTGCAGTGGAAATGAAATTACTCACCAAATTGCTGCCTTATCGGCTTCATGTTGAAGCAGCACGCGATCTCGACTTCAACGCGAATATTCACTCGCCTGATTAAAAAGACAGAGCTAATTATCGTAGCATCAATACAGTGAGAAGTACTGCGTGGTACAATAATTGTTGAACGCTTTGGTCAGTACTCGCGACATTTATTCGCAACTTCGCTTCGGTGATTAAAAAACACAGAATAGCATAAATTTCTTGGAAACAGACGCAACGCGACGCAAAATAAAAATGACGGCGCACGCATCAGTTTTAATTGCACTTTTTATATTTCCGCAGCGTCTTTAGATAAATTATATTTTGAAACGACATAAACTTACAATCAATCCCAAAATGATTAAAATATTTCTTACTTCGTACAATAAAGTTACAAGAACGTTGAACGCATTAAATCAAATAAATTATATATTCACCGTACAAAAATATCACGTTCACGTTTTGATAATTACATCGCTACGATTATTGTGAAAAATAATTTTCAACGAGCGTTCGCAAAGAGGAATATTATAGTCGCGATGTAATAGCTATCACATTTACATACTTTTGATTTTTGTACAGCGATAAACACGTAAAAATTATATGTAAAAAAATTGTTATACAAGAAATCTAAAATGTAACTTTCTGCCTCGAAGCTGGTAAAACGTATCCTTCCAAACGTATATTTTCTAAAAAGAGATAAAATCAAGTATTAAACGCGTGAGGAAGAACTCTGGATATAAAGGCGCAAATATTAGCCACGTTAACGTATCCGAAACAGTTATATTGGTTTTAGTACCTGTATTTTCTCAATATTAATAATAATAATAATAAAAATAATAATAATCAAGTATAATAAAACGCAGAATTAATTATCTACAATGCATATTCGCACGTACAAAGAATCACAAAATATACATAGAACAGACACAATGAAATGTCGGGGCGCACAGGCGGCCCCGTTACTTCGTCTTGACATAATCGCCGAGCAGTTCCCTTGTTTTCGCCGTTAACGAACCGGAAGCGATCAAGAGCGGGGGCAGGATGCGCGTGTGCCTGTGTGTGTGTGTGTATGTGTGTGTGTGTGTGTGTGTGTGTGTCTCTGAGTGAACTATTGATCATATTTATTCGTGTACTTGCGTACGACTATAGTGAAGCTACGCCTTTTCTTCCTGACGATCGAATATATAATATCTATATATAATATATACATATACATTCAATGCGCGAGAAAGTCACACGATTCCCGGACGCGGCAAAAAAAATTACGACGAACGTCAGCAGGTTCTCGCGGTCGCGCGGACTTCCCTCTGGGACACGTGGGGGAACGAGGATCCGGTCCCCTCGGATATGCCGCTTCTCCATGCTGCCTTAGCGACATTCATCGAGATTCTCGCTCTATCGCAAAATATCGCCCGTAGTAACAATAGTGACAGGCCGGCGCTACAATCCTCTACGATTACAGCTTGCCGCTACGATTATCGCGAACGCTACTCTTTTGTTCCTTTACCATTTAATATACCGATGTGTAGCACCAACGCAGCACAGAGTATTGCCGCAGGACACTCGAATATCTCAAGGACACACAAGCTCCTGTCCGCGACAGGAGCGAGTCCCTCCCGGCTTAATATTGATTCTGGCACTCGCATGCACTGGGCAGCCTCTCGCTCTCGCTTCCACATCCCTTGGCAATATTTACATTTAAATCTATCACTAACTAGTCACATTCAGGCAACTCCTTAAACGCGGTACGCCGACCAGTTTCCACCGGAACGACTCATTTCTCTCGTCGCAAATTGATGCTACGCGTAATCGAGTCCTGGATCTCAAGACCCTTCGGTCTCCACAGACGCCCTTTTGCCGATCCCTGATTACACGCGCTTTCAAATAAGCCGATCTCAGGTCTGTGGATCGTCGAGGAGTCAAGAGTTCCATCAGGATATTCAAAAATATCCCGTATTGCGAAAAATTCCAATTTCGTATATTTTGGCACATTTATTTATTCGATTTTATAAAATCTTTGTTCTAGAAGCTAAGTTTCGCAGAAATTCCAGGTGCTACAAATTCGGCATTTCTTAAGCAAGAGTTCTCCAATTAGAAATTCTCGATTTTATAAAATCGGATACGTGTGGGCATTCAACTATATAAATTTGTGCCAAATTTTGTAATCCTGTACTGTGCGCATCCTAGCCATTTCTGTAATTCTCCTCTCGATGCCGCTACACTTCAAAATCTCGTCGATCCTTGTAATCTCGATTACGAGTAAACGTCAAGATTTTGCTCGACTCGCGCGAGTACGACGAAACACCAGCAGCGATCAGTCTCGTGCTCTCTCAGCGTGATAGTGAGCCGTGTCCGTGAAACAGCCGGCCGCCTCTTACGACGTCGAGTCGAGTTATAAAAGATAAAACTTCGGTGCGGCGACGGTTACAACAGTCGTGATTAATTTGCTAGTGACGAGTAGGCGGAGCGCGATTGTTATTACTAAGATAGTTATTTCTTTCCTTTTTCTTAAAGGGGTCGTTAAACGTCTCGCTCGTGCACAGCTACACAGAAAAAGGGATACGCCTCGAGAAGTCGTGAGTGTATTAAGGATCGTATCACCATCGACTCTTCACGAAAAGACAATCGCGCTTTAATCCTTAAGCAGCCGCGTTGATGTCGTTCTGATAACTCACAAGTTCTTACACAAAGACGGAAGACTCATCTTTGTAAGATCTTTAATCGGAATATTGCACTATTTTCGTCAACCATTGAACGAGTAAACTCTGGCATTTCTATTCGCAATTGCGAAGTTAAACAACTATTTTTTAAAAATAATTATCCAATAACGCAATTCTCCAGTTTCTTGCTCCTGCTCAAGGATTAAAAGTGACAAATGCATACATTTGAATATGTATATTATCGGACATAACGCTATCATATAGACGCCTAAATTCAACCCTTACCTCGGGATTCGTGAGTTTCCTGCCGTAGATAGACTTTGGGGCCACCGTGGCCCTTCGTGTACAAGATTACGTTAGTACAATAAAAAAAAAGACTTATTTATTTACACAGGGAAACGTAGTACACAGTCTGCAAAATAATACAAGTGTTTCTAAGTAAAAATTTCCGACATTAATAAAGTAGTATGACTATTGTTATTATTAGTAATCAATTTCGACGAGAATCGAACGTCAAGAAATGCAGGTCTCGATGTGATCCTCCGCGCGTAGAACGTAGAACGTTAAAATAATAATACAGTCGTACTCCCGCGGTAAAAAAAATTTCATAATTAATAATTAACAGCCATTAATATCAACTTATTCATTTCAAAATAATGCAGGTAAGGCTGTAGGGCCGCCGCGAGCCTTCATTAAAAAAAATCGCACTGTTAGGACGCAAAATAATGATTTACATGTAATTTTAAATACATTCGCTATTAATAATATGCTGTTAAAAATCTGTCGAATACCTATTTAACAGATAATCGCTAGGGTAATTATTATGTAACGAAGTGTTATTTTAAACAAATCCGGATAAGGGCGAAATATGTCTCGTAAGGGTCTAATAAGCCCAAAAATGAGCTCGATTCTATCCCTATTACGCTTAGATTGATTGATCACAAAGCCGGGGCTATTTTGTTCGTATCGTATCGTTTCTTTGTTCCTTCCTGATCGATCGGCCGATCGATCGAACAGGAATCCTTGGGAGAGAGAGATGTGTTGGAGACGCGTACGCAACAATTGACAATGGTCACGATTTCGTCGAGGATATCAGCACGTAATAATCTGGTCTCGCGGATACTTCGACTTCTATAGATCGAAATCGCGTATCTTTAAATTGACAAACAATTTCTTAATCTGCGAATGAGAAATTCTGTTTTCATCAATCTTGTGAATCTTAACAGAAATCTCATAATATATATTGCTTGTAAATATTCACAATCCTTAGCTATTCAAGTTCTTAATCTTCAGAATTAAAAGTTCTTTGATCTTCCGTCGTTCGAGTATTGATTAGGCCTGTAATCCGCTATTGATGTCCCGGTATCCCGTGCCAATTCGTCCAACACATAACCCTCGGAGTCTTCGATGGCGCTAAATGTGTTACGTGTCTTCGTTAATAATCTCCTTCTAGCGGTTCTCCGCGTCGCGCAGTTTCCCTTTAACAACCTACGAGAAGCGGCTAAGTGTTGTACAGGTGACACTCTATGTATGAGGTCGGCACGAAGCCCTCGATCGGCTGCGAGATGCGTCGCACTCTAGTCCAACCATCCCCCTGATCCAGCTCGATCATATACAGCTCTTCGCCGTCGTACATCGGTATGGAACCTTCGCTAGTCGCTGCAAATAAAGTAACAACGTTAACAAGATTAAAGCTTTCGGTAACAAGAATAAAATAATTGTTCAGTTTTTCTCCAGTTGAGCTTTAATCTACATTCGTGTCCTCGTCCCTAAAACTGAGAATGCAAAAAAGGATTACAGGAACTTACCATCGAAAGGATAAAGCGCCCGACATGTCCCCAGCGGCGGCTGGGCATCCACTTCATCATGATAATACTCCTCGCAGCCGCTGCCGGGTAGCGACGTTCTCGACTCGCCGAGGCCAGATTCCGGGCTGTTCGTGGAACTGTGCATGAGTACCATAAAGCGAAAACCGTGGCTATTCGTCTAGTGTGAAGTGTCTAATCTACTCAACATCGCAAACCGAACGCTCTCGCGGAAAGGTATAACAACGACTAGATCGCAATCTAATCTGAACTTACAAGCAATTGTGAAGCAAAACTCTATTCGTCACACTAATTTGTTGAAGCGGGTAAAACAACGGTGACTCATGTAATAACACTTTTCACATTATCTCTGTTACTTATGTTCATTAGCTCCGATAAGATAAGAGCGATTGCATAAAAGCCAAAGACATTACAATGTTCCTGAACATGGATTTATGGACGTGCAGAATTATGAAACAAAGGATCTATGAGGTAATTCGAATATATATATACAGCATAGTAAAAATATAATACTGATAATAGATAATAAATAGCGACAAAACATTAAATAACGATAAAACGCGGTACGAGTGGTGGAACAAGCTTGTGAACTGAACGTATGGACTTTAAAAGTTCTGAGATTTACAGAGTGTATGATGTGACCTCTCTCTGTGCATTAGCTCTGTGCATATCGCCGTGAATAACTTACCCATGAGTCGGCTGCGGTGTGCCCGGCGCGCTCTTCTTGTGAACCGGTTGATTTGCGTTCGCGTTACTGACGCTCGAGTCCGAAGCGGATCTCGAAAGGCTCTCCTCGCCGCCTGAATGACTACCTCTTCGTGAACTCAACGGCCTCGTCGCCGAGCCGTTAGTAGTAGGTTTTCGCTGTGCTTGACTTGGGCTGAAACCGCAACAAGTTATATCTTTAGCTCTTAATTTTATTACCGAATAGCTCAATAATACTGGCCCGTTAAACTAGGAAATTGTGTATTTTAAGTTATTCATTTAAACGTAACAAAGTTTCACCAAAGGCCGTACTGCTACTCCACATACATATAAATCTTCGACACTCCACGTTTCACTTTTCGCAATTACACCATAAATATTCCTTTGCCTTTTTGGAGCGATTGTTTGTATGAATAGCGATGTAGTTCCTTGCACAATTCTAGCAAAGCTTCGTTTACCTAGATAAACTGGCACCAGCGCGCATCGCTTCTTCGAGGTAGCCTTGAAACTTTGCCAATTCAACTCCGAGCTTGTCCAGTTTGTTGCTGGACTGGTTTAATTGCCCCTCTATACTCATCGGATCTCCAAGGGCTGGATTCTGCTCGTACACGCCTTTCATCTTCATCAGACCGTCCCTCGCCGCGGTCTCCTGCTGAATCTTCGCCTGGATCTCGTCCAGTCGCTGCTGCAATCGCTTCTTCCGTTGATTCGGTGGCAGATCGCTGCAGTCCTCCTTGGCACCATCACCGTAGCCAGGCACATTATTCTGGAATGTGACACAATAAATATCGAATCCTATGGAAATTAAGTGTGCGCATTCCTGAGACCCAAAAATTTTATTTGCACTGAAATGCCTTATCGTCAGAATTGTCATTAAATTATATGTATAAAGATAAATAATATAATAATTAATACAAATATATGTATTAACAATGAATTATATTGTCACGAATACTTTGATAAAACTTAATATAATTGTACAACACGAGTTTCTCTCTTTCTCTTTCCTCCAACATATTGCATTCTAGGTCTCAGGAAAATAACAGAAAGAAAGATGAGAAAGCTTGGGAACACATTTTGTTGTAGAGGCAACTCGTTTCGTTAATGATCTACGGATTGTTAGTGGGAACTAGCGTAATATTATCTGTAAATTGATACTGATGGACGAGTTCAATATTCAATATCGCTCATTGTTTCTAGGCGATAATGTGAATAAAATGTATTCTCCGCAGTATACAAATAATAGGGGAAAAAAATCAGAACAAATTATTTCCAGAAATGGAAATAATTTTTAACCCTTTTGGCGCTAAAAGGTAAAATTTGGTCCTAAAAAATTACAATTGCTTTAATTTCCGAAAATTCAGATTTTGAGAAATTCGCCGATTTTTAAATTGATGCTATTAAATAGTAAAACTCCACAATTCCTGCACGTTGGAAGCCTTTGATTTCGCAGAAATTAGATTTGTTTAATTAATTCAAATCTCTCGCGGATGTAGGGATTCCTTCAACTTGATTTTCTACGAAATAATCGAATTGACGATCGAGACAACTCGGCTCCCGAGGAAACGATTGTCTGTCTCATCTATTTATCACTGCGTGTAAAGAAGACGAGCAAGTCAAGCACTTGTAAGCGTTCAGCTAAGCACCAAAAGGGTCAATCGAAAAGTGACTTGGCGATTGGACAGACCTTTAAAGCTATGCACACCTCGATCAACTTCTGTCGTTCGCATGAAACAAACCCAAAAAGCGTATCATTCAGCGAATGAACAGGATGGACTTTTGGCGATAGCTTAAGCGAGAACTCAGATCATTTCGGAAACATTAATCCTAAATAGTACGAGATACCTTATTTATGTTGCAATATAACAAAAAAAAACGGATCTACTTTGTACAACCATAATTTCATGTTAATTTCAGTTTAAACTTAACAAAGCTATAGATATTTAACAATATATTTATTTCTCAAAATAACAAGCTATTTTCATATCACGTTCTAACTCAATTTCTCGTTATATTTTACATATTGAATTTGATTCAGTTACACAATACAAATTTTAATTAAATTTTGCACCTTACATTCTGTAAGCGCAATCAGTCTTCTACCGATTAAGATTAATGTGTCCGCTGAGTTCGCGCTCTTCCAACAATTTTAATGCCGCATGTATTTCATCTTTACGAGGCAGATAAAGAGTTGTTATTATATATATATATAATTACAAGCGAAAAAGCGGTCTACACAAAGTACTTACTAAGTATGACAATATCCCAATTCATAGCCCATGACGATTGGAAACAAGAAGACCACAGGCAGATTGAACCATCCACCAAATTAAGAGAAAGTACAGAAGACAAAGTAAGTTACGTTTTGTTATGCGAGTTCAAATGAAAGTGTGATTGCAAATTATAGTCCGAATGTGTAAAAATAAGATAGAAGATACAGTACTGGACTCAATTCATAGCCATTCCGTCAAACCTAATCATTCTTCTTGTTACACTAATCTGATGAGTTCAAGCGCATGAAAAGATTTAAAAAATTAATTTTGAAAGTTTACACAAGTGGCAATTTAAAATAAAGACTAATTTAATATTTCATGCCATTTACATTATTATAATATTATGTAACATAAGTACATATCATATCTAAGTAAATATTATATAATATAAGTATTAAATGCGTGTGCTATTTTTTAAATACAAGTCAATAATAAGATTTTATTAAATCTTGTATAACAGGTAAGGCGCATTTTTCCCATTTTAATTGCAGTCTCAACTATGATTAAGATTTTCTTTCCCAATTGATTTTATCAGGATAAACTCATATTATTACATATGAATGGAGTTTACTGTATCACAAAGCTCTTATAAATAAAACATAGAGGCAAAATCACTTCAAATAATAATAATAATTGAAAAATGCAAAAACCGCTTCTCTCTCGCGTAATCATAGATAACAGTGCACAAAATAATTGAGAAGTCGCTCGTAAATAACGTTACTGTAGCTGGTCGGAAGGATACGGAATCTACTAATGTACATGCTCAATAGAAATATGTGTGCATATAATAAGAGCAGGCCTGTCGGCGAATAAGGAGATGCAAGTATACGTACATAAATGATAAGTTAGAATATATGAGATAAAGAATAAAATAATATTTCAAAAGATAATCGTGCATGCTGTAAAAATCATCTGCAATATTCTTTGCAATTATCCTTTCCTTCCCACGACCTCGCAGATACGATAAATAAATTAATGCGATAAATTATGTTAGCTCTCTTCTCTGAAGTCGTGCGAGTCCTCGGCTTATAACGTTACGAGGGATTATTTTTGTCGGTATACTAAAAATTCAATTATACAATTGCGAGATTGCGCAAAGAAATTGTTAAACGGAAATTTCATCATGAATCGCCCAGACTCGACGAGCTCGCAAGAAAAATGCGTATAGGATGTCTGAAAAGAAATCGTTCTGAATTGAAATTTATAAAATCAGTATAATTAAACGTTCATAATGAATAACAAAGCGCTTATCTTGCATATAGATAAGGAGATTTGTGAATAGAGAATTACAGAAAAGCCCGCGTGAAAAATGCGATTATTTTTCAATATTTATCAGCAGGTTTCGTTAAATCTGAAGACATTTCATTAATACGTCTTTTCGGTACATCCTATGCGTTAAGAACACTGCACCAATGATCCCAAATGATCTGTAATGATCTTCCAGAGCAACATACGGACGAGTATCTACCTTATTACTGCCGAAGATCCCGAAGAGGCCGACCCTCTTTTTGATCTTGCCACCGGATACGGTGCCCTTGACCGTGAGATGATTGTGGATCGGCTGCATGACCGGCTGGGCCAGTTGACTGTTGCTGTCGTAGTTCTTTGCGACCGATAGGTCTTCAAAGGGAAAGTCTCCGGGTGGCTGGAAACCACTCTTGTAGCGTTCTATTACCAACATCGTGTCCTCCTTCTCGTTGATCTCGTTCGCCGCCTTCTCAATGCCATCTAGACACTGGGCAATTATCGGCGCCACCGCCCGCTCGATCTCTACCGATTTCATCATGTAGTTTCGCATGTTCTTTATCCTTTTCTCGTCCAGTTCCTGCGGCAAAAACGTGACGTATAAGAGAGAATTGCCCATGAGAGAAGGTAATTGCAATTCTGAATCGAATGTGATAACATTGTTTCACACAATTTCCAACTAGGAAGTTAATACTACCAACTTATTACATTAATTCATTAAAATGTCGATAGATTTATAATTAAGCGAATAAATTTAAATTATCTTTACAGGAAAGTTCATTGAAGTTTAATATTCTATATGTTAGAACCTTGCGATTGGGCCCAACTTCAAATTCGTCAAATGTCGACGAATATGTAATAATTAAAGTGTTCTTTTATTACACGAAAGAGTTGTTTGAAAAATGTGTATAACGACAAAAGGGAGAATACCTTCGCGAACGTTACATAAGAATTACGGACAATATAATAAAACGTGGACGTAATCGCGCACAGTTATGACAAAGTGGTACCTGAAGATGTTGAAACACTTCCGGCATCGCTGTGTGGTAGTGTAACGTCTGCATGTCATTCGTTTTTTGCAGCTGATTCGCGTACTCCGTTTTGGCTTCCTCGCTCTGCTGGGTCTTCATGGTCATATTCATCCTCTGCTTCTCGACCTGCTCGTTGCAGGAAAGAAAAAAAAGAGAAACCGGTCATCGTCGAGCGTCAATGTGTACAATTTTCGTCAATCGCTCATAATTTAAAGGCACAATTTCTTCGCACGCTCTATCTATCCGTGGAAAAGCGACTCGAGATTCTATCTGTGCTCCGTCGAAATGATACTGCCGGCTCTTCTTCCCACTTATTGTACACACCGGTTGGGCCACTTTCGGAAAGAAGGACGGATACGCGAAAGCTGGCGGGACTTATCGCGAAAGGATAGGGGATTCTTATCGCACCTCTGCTCTCGAGAGATTGAGATCCGCGTCCGCCCGCTGATAGTTCTCCACGGCGCGCTCCGCCTCGCGGAAGGCCTTCTCGTAGGCCTTCCTGGCGCGCTCCAGATTGCCGATCTGGCCGGCTAGGGTGGCCATCAGCCGCGCACCCTCCTGCAGATGCTTCTTGCGATCCTCCTTGAAGTCCTTAACCAGGATGTTGAGCTCCCGCAGAACGTTGGCCTGAAGGTTCTCCGCGATCACCTCCCGCTGACCGGCCTGGTCGTTCACTTCGTTCAACTCCATTTTAAACGCCCGACAGGGACTATATCTGAAGAAACACAAGCCACGTTCTTCTCTTTGTTCCTTTCGCTCTACGTTTACTAACGCTCTATCCACACATACACACATTTTCTACTTTCTCCTTTCGGGGTTTCTTCATTTTCGCGTTTCTATTAAAAACTTTAAACTCTTTCCTTTTACTCTCTTAATACTTTCAAGCCTGTCTTTTATTTTCTACTGCTTTAATTTCGCTTGATAGCTTCGTCATTTTTTCACTAGTAAACTTCTAATTTCTCTAGTCGAGAGATGTTAACGAGGTATACTAAACAATTTGCGTTATGCAGGAAACCCCTCTTGCCTTTTACAGTCACAGATAAAACAACGTTAGCGTAGATTAGCTAATTTGACATAATTGTTTTTCAAATAATTTAGTGTAATCGTTGCGTATACGACAAGAATAATTTCTGGTCTGCGCAACGCCAACGCAGACTGATTTCGCAGAACGAGAGGAGCCTAAATCTCGGCCCACGCCGATTAGTATGACACACTCTTCATATTACTTCATAAAGAACCAACTGAGAGGGCGAAGATCTCTTTTGCCGAGTTATTAAACTTATAAAGCGTCCCGTCTATACACGAAGTATAATTCTCTCTGTTAAGCTGTTCGAAATTTTTATTATATATAACGCAAAGTTCTGGGCTCTTTCCTACGAGTCGCGGATATCCCTGATTCGTTTTCGAAAAGAGGTCTGACGACTAAGTGTAAAAAAAAATAGAAATCTAAAGATGTAAGGTGCTAATATCACGTCTCCGCCGAACACAAAAATTGATTGTAACTTTCTAATTTCAGGATTGGATTCTAGGCCGCGAGATAAGCAGGCTGCTCGCGTTTCTTCTTCATTAGAGCTTGCAAAACGTGTTCGCGTTAACATTTCGTTAGGTTCGCGGGTGACAAACGAAAAAAAAAAAAGAGTTTCGCGCGAGAGAAAAAGACAGAGCCGTCGCCGGGGACTTTCTGTCGCGGAGAAATTCGCCTTACTTTTAACCCTGATTACGCCTCGGCTCCCGTTTTATTTTAACCCTGACCCAAACCACGCTCCTGTGCGCGCTTAATTACTCGCGCGGCGCACGTTCTGTGCGCCGAGTCAGAAAATTAATTATGGCTCCGTGGAAGAACTCGGCACCTGTTTGAAGACCGGCGGAGGCTCCTCCGCGGAGGAAATATTTTCCACCTTTGCTTTAATAAGTCCCAGTTATCGGAAACACGACGGGCGCGTCCAATGCGCGCTGCATATAATTACAGAGTGGAGTTTTACATCGTATAAGAAACGTAATTGAAAAATAAGCACTCGTGCTAATTAATGCGATTTTCGCCTTCAGAAAGTTACTATTTCATTCGTCACGGTGCAATTATCTACTTCCCCCGATTAGCCACAGTGGTGTAATTCATCTCGACCACAGACAATTTAAATATGTGTTTGTTACTCTTTCATGTTTTGTATACTGTACATATACGAGACGTGTCTATCTGTGATCGCCGGTAACTCGAGAGGAGAGAATACGCGCGCGCACGTAGCTTTATACTTACTGATAATCCTCCTCCTCCTTCTTCTTCGGTTGATAACTCTTCACGAGACGCCTGCAACAGAGAGACGGGAGAAATAAGATTATTGATGCACGCTTCTCACGAAGGTGAAATGACATCGCATCGGGGAAACGTTAGGCGAATAGCAGAAACTATTGCATTACCCGGAAGTGTACTGCTCGTAGAAATGATCTCTGCATTACCCCCCCCCCCCACTCCTTGCCTTTTTCGTTCGCAGTAATTTTTTTCATCCCGACAGCTGGTGAACGCTTACAAATTTCACGTGTTATACACTGAGAAAACAGCTGTTCAAGTCAGGAAATATTTTCTTGATTTAACATTTTTCTTCCCGGTGCAATAATTTTTAAATACCGCCCGAAACAAATTATTTTCTTATTTTACTCTTTACGCACAAATTCTAAAAGTTAGATATTTTATTATACCGAGTGATCCGATCGATGCAAAAAGACATCACAATTGAGTCAATATTCTGTGAAGCATATTGCGATTTGTTCATCAGCGAGCGAAAATAATAGCTCCTTTAGCACGTTCGCTCTGTCCAGATTCGAAAAAGTTTCGCCACAGATCGTGCTGCATTTTTAATAACTGCGTACAACGTACCTACAATTACATGTTGCAATTACACACGTAAAATGTATCAAATAGGCTTTTTAAATGGTTGTAAATTTTATGTTTTAAATTCTATATTTTTTTTCCGGGTTCTACATTCTGAGTAATAAATTCTACAAGTGGCCTGATCTACAATGTGCTCTTTGCGTCCAGAAACCTTCTATTCTATAACCGATACGCGGAGAAAATTTTCTTTCAAAATTTATTCTGAAAATTATGTAATCGTGGGTCAACGCGGCATTTCGAAAAATTTTATGGGAGTTTTCTGAAGTTTTACCATACATTTCATTAGTAAAGTTTCAAAAAACTGTCATAAAGTTCTTCGAAATGCCATGTTGTTCCACGATCACATGATTTTTCAGGATCAATTTTAAGAAAAAATTTCCTCCGTGTACGTTTAAAACATTTGTACAAGTTGATATATTTTACAATTTTACAACTTTTAACAAGAAAACACAAATTTTCCAACTGTGCACATGTGACGCGGCAGCGGACGGGCTAAACAATGATGCGATCGTGACAGCATTTCAATAGCAATACAAGAATACGCTCAAAGAATTGCAACATCTCGCAATTTCCACACTCGCCCGCTTCCTTTTGCAGGAAAAGCCGCCGGGCCGGGAATTTACCGCAATGCACGCGGTCATTCCGGCCTGTGCAGAGAAGACAGTAGGAATATTCAGTAAAATAAAGTAGGCGAGCGAGAAAGATTTCGAGTGTGGGCCTGAATAGCTCGGTTGGAAGGACACTCGCTTGGTGGAGGGTCTCAGGTTCCTGGTCTAGTCCTAGCCCATTTTTCTCGCCGAAAAATGAACAAGTGGCGCGTCTTAGTGCCTACCTGCCCGCAGATACCCTCCTATTTATTACTACTATGGTTTAAGGTTGAGGCAGTAAAAATCAACGTGAAAGAAGAAAGTCAAAAAGCCCTTTAATAGTTTTGTAGCTTTGTCGCTCCGTTAAGATAACTGCGGTAAAGTTGTCCAAGGAAATATCTGAAATACAATCAGAAATACCGCAGTCTATCTAAACGGAACTGCCAAAGCGCCTTAACTTTTCGATTTTCCTTTTCGACAGCGATTTTTATTGCCTCAACTTCAAGCCATAATAATAAATAGGGGTGGTATGCACTAAGGCCGGTATTCATAGTCGGATCTTATATTCAAGACCGTCTTGAATTTATCTACAGAAGCTGTGTGGAGCATTTTATTTTACTCCGTATCCAAAGATGATCTTAAGACGATCTTAAATATAAGATTTCACTATGAATGCCGCTCTAAGACGCGTCACTTGTTAATTTTTCGGCGAGAAAAACGACGAGCTAGGACTAGAACAATATTCGAACCTGGGACCTTTCACTCGCCGGGCCAATACTCTCCTAACTGATCGTTAGTGCCTACCTCCCCGAAGACACACCCCTATTTATTACTATGGATGTCGGGGGGGTCAGATCGCGAATTGTGCCGCCGCCCGGTAATCGAAGAAATATCAGATCGCGAGCGGCGCGGAATTATTTTTGGTCGCGGCGCAGATTAAAACGGATCTGGGCGTGCCGTTTTATAATTTTTACGCCGCGCCACGTCGGTCTATAAATACACTATCACGTTGAATCTCGCGCGCTCTTGATACAGCGGAGCAACGCCAGGAGGAAGGGAAGAAAACAAGAGGATGAACGGAGAGGGTCGAAGAAAATGGAAAAATCGCTCATACGAGAATGATTCTCGTCCAGCAAGATGTTTTTTTAAGTAAATAATAATTTCGCTCGTGTTATATTTAACAACAAGCAATCAAGAGAGGCCAATTTCTACGAGCATAAAGGTTGACAATTTAATATACATTTAAATATATAATATATATTTTTTAACCAATAATATAGTTTTTTAAAACAACCTACACTGGCCAATGTTTTTATTTTAAAAACGACGCGTTAATTAATTAATTACTAATAAATCGTTAATTATTACGAATTAATTCGTAATAACGTTTAATGTGAGGACTCTCTTGCTTGTACACAGTTTACTTACAGCAAACGAACAATATGAGATTATTAATAATTGCGTGAACAGGTATACTTAGATTTATGGTTTACTTCCGCTATAATTACTTTCTTTTTTTATATTAAAAAAATGTTTAGTGCTGAGTTAAGTATGTTTGCAGATTACTTGAAAAGGGTCCAAATCTGGGACCGAAACGTCGTTTTTTTAAATAAAAACATTGGCCAGTGTAGATCGTTTTAAAAAACTACGTATCATTGGTTTTAATCTACTGGCGATATTTAATCTATTTGTGATATTTTTCGCAATGAGAATAATTTACAGTACGAGGAAGGGGGGGGAGGTAGTGAATGCTAAATGTAGCATCAGAAAAATGCTAAAATGTAGCATCTCAAATATAATTACAAATCGTTTATCGATTTGAAATATGTGAATTTGCTGACTATAATAACTCCACTTGTAAGAAAACTGCGTTATGTCCGAAAGGAAACCGGCGCGCAGAACAAACGTGGAAAGAAATGGTATATGAAATGACACTTTAAAAACATAAAAATTACAAGTTGGGCTGCATCTTGCCTTGTGACCCACATTGGCGTTTTCTCATATGTCGGTTAGTTTTAGTTAGGGGTCTTACTTTAAGTTTATTATTCTATTTGTGATATATTTTTTAAGATTTTCCAAGGCTCATCCCAGATGTACGGGCGACCCCTTCCCGAGTACCCGGATGCTGTTGGACACTCCCGGTGGATCCTCCGGTCACACGACGATGGCGTAACTTTTTTGGAGGGTATTACGCAGAGTCGGGGCAATTTTCTCGGAATCGTCCCAGAATACGCGTGCACTGACCGCCGCGTATTTCGCACGAAAGTGAATCGAGGGTCGGGCTAGACGCTGGAAATTGCAGCGCATTAAGACGAAGGACGCGCGAGTGCGATGATTCCTATATGCAGCGGGCGAGCGGCGAACGTGCGCGGCGAAGCGCGTGAAATTCACTTCTCGCAGTTGCACGCCCGGCTCTAAATTAATTCCCTCGTTTCGTCAAAATCGATTTTTACGAAATCGGAATACATTTCCTCGGCGGACGCGCGAACGTAACTGCAAATTCATTGCGGCTTGAGATAATCATTTTATTTCGATCGTATTACAACGATAATGGTAATTATGCTAAGGCAATTGTTATCACGATTAGTTTCCTTATTGTGAGAAATCACTTCGAGTCACGCAGCGAGGTAAACAATTGATTGGCTGCATGAACAGACCGTTCCAATTTCAGTCAATTTTACAGCAACTAAAGAAACTAGCTAAAAAATCGTGACGTTTTATTTCTCTCTTTTTTTTGTAATGGTATGATGCGTTCGAATATAGGCAACATGTAAAAAAATATATACATTGATTTCCATTTTTATAGCTTTTTCCAGGGGGGGGGGAACCGCTGACCAAATCTTGTACAGCAACGCCCACTAAAGTCCAGTGGGTATTACTTTATCTTATTATCTTATTTTATCTTTATAATACCCCAGCAAGGCCTAATGCCCAAACTAGTGCCCAAAAAATACCTACACTGAAAAAAATTTCTGGTTGAATATGGACGAATCAGATAATTCCTTTAGGATTTACCAGAATTCCTGTAATCCTACAGAAATTCTGGTAAATCCTAAAGGAATTCTGGTAAATCCTAAAGGAATTATCTGATTCGTCCATATTCAACCAGAAATTTTTTTCAGTGTAGCAATGCCCAGTAATGCCGCAAATTTGTACACCACAATGCCCCCAGTGGTTTCCCCTCGGCTTTTTCGTAGCAGCAATCCAGTCGCAATTTATTTTTGACAGAAAATGGAGCTACCTCTTCAATTTTCAAAATTTTAATTACGACAGACCGTACGGAGTTGCGTTCCGAGCACACAAGTCGCGTTGAAAAATGAAGAGCGATAAAACTGTTCGCAGCAAGTCCGCAGAATTCCACTCCGACTAGACGTCTCGTGGATTTTACCAAAGGGCAGACCGCGCGGTTAATTACGGCTAATGTTGCACGCGGCGCGCGACAACATTTCGGGACGTGCGACGGAGTGATTAAGCGTAATGCAAAACGGAGTAATTAAGGCGGCCGGGAGTGGATGGATTTCGAGACACCCGATAGAACAAACGTACGCTACAGTGAACGGCATTCACGGAACGGACAAGGGATTCCTTTAACACAATATTAGTAGCTACGGATCTCTCGCCTCGTCCCTGAACCCCACGGGGTGCGTGAGACACGCTCGTTATGCAGAATGTCCCATTGAAATCATTTCGCCTCGGATGCCCCGCTCTTTGTCGGGACACTTAAAAAAAGGGGGAAAAAAAGAAGCGTCGCGTACGAGCACGACAGGGCGCAAGGTGCAAGGCATACGAAAGCGTCGAGGGGCGCACCTGCCATTGGTCCTCCCTATTTCTTCTCTGTTCGCTTGGAATTATTTTCAAAATAGAGAATACTCGTCTGCTACTTTCCAACTTTGCGCATCTGTGTGGTTTTTCGTTTAAAAAAAGGTTATTTCGCTAAAAAAAATTATAATAATACTCGAGAAACGTAAGATGTAGATCAATTTGAAAATTTTCTAGTTTCCTGCAGCTTCCTGTGAAAAAAAAAACCACCGATAGAGAACGTCCCGATTTAGTCTCGCTATGAACCGAGAAATTCTCCGATAATAAAAAATTACAGCATCTTAAAATTAAATTATAAAATTTTTCTATAAACGGCAAATAAATAATCGACACAGAAACAGATGCCTCGAAAGTGCCCGAGTAACTTTTATCTTCACGAATTTTTCACAACCCCTTTTTATTTATTCCTAGGGACAAGATGTTTTGTCTCTCACCTGAGCTTCGCTGCGTATTCGAATTCGATCGCGCAACGATCGCGTATGAAGTGGCCATACCTCTCGAGAAACTCTATCCCTTTCTGCGTGTGCAGGGACAGATTCTCGAACTGGTCCTGGAAGCACAGACAGAGAAAATGTTAGGGAGAAAAAAATAGTAACTGATTACAATATTTAAAAAAATATATAAGACTTAAAAATATATTAAATTGGTACACAACTTTTGCGCCAAGGAGACACCCTTCGAGTTTCAATATTTTAAATATACTTTAATACTAAACGTTCGCCAACTTTCATGAATATGGCAACAATTGTACCATGAGATGCGAAATACGTAAGGCATAAAGATTCGTAGAAAAATATGGTGAATTTAAAAGATTATCGACGAATGGGAGATTCGTTACGTTCTGTATTCAGGCTTTTATAGAGGAGACGGTCCAAAGAGAGGGACGCAAAATGATCGGTCGAGCAAATATCTGCAAGAAAGCCTTGATTTATTCTTGAGAACTTTTCCTCTTTTTTTTTCTTTTTTCTTTCAATTCCTTGGAACACGTTCGACTAAATTGTCGATTTCGCCGCCAAGAGAGTGAAGACTTTTCTCCGTCGAACGAACAATCCGACCGTATCTATCGCGGTCGACGACTGAGAAAAACCTCTTGGCACACATACGCCCCGCGTTTCCTCCTCCTTCACCACCTCCACCTCCACCTCTTCCACCTCACCACCGCGCGGGACAATGAGGAATTTCGCAAGCGACGTGCGCGGAAAGATTTCTGAACCGTCGTTTAGCGGCTCGGCACGAAAAGTGAAACTGGACGTACTAACATTCGGTTGTCCGAAGTGAAGTTCACATACGAAGTTAGTGCGCGCATTCGCAACTCCGATGACGTATCGCAGTTAGCGTCGTGCAAACTAATTCTCTACGCGGAGAGAATTTTCTTTTGAAATTTATCCTGAAAATCATGTAATCGTAAGACTCCGCCTCGAAATGTTGGTACTATTTTGACACTTTTAAGGACATTTTACACCTACTTGGCTGATCTATACACCTACATAGACCAGCAATTGCCTACTTTGACGACATTATATTCTTTCACTCCTCCCTTGAATCTTTAATTCTACAAGTTTACTTCAGCTCCTACTTAAAAGGACCCACTTTAATGCTAAATTGGCAAAAGTAGAAATTTCCGACACTATTAGTTTTAAAGTAGAAGTAAATTTTGTACTTGCAGTTCGACCTCTTTTACTGTCTTAGGTCCTACTATATAATAGAATTAGAGGTTCAACATAGGGCCAAGATTTCGACTCGGAAGAGCACGGCATTTCAGAGAATTTTATGAGAACTCTTTTCTCAATTTCACTATACATTTTACTAGTAATTATACTTGGCATACATTTTACCAGTAAAATGTGGGACAACACGGTATTTCGAATTTTATGAGAGCTTTTTGAAATGTTACTGTACATTTTACTAGTAAATATACTTAGCATACATTTTGCTGGTAAAATGCATGGCATGCATACAGCAAAAGTAAAATGTGTACCAAGCATATGGCATTTCGGAGAATTTCACGAGTATTCATTTTAATTTTACCATAGAATTCTAGTACGAGATATCAGGTTTTCAACGTCCAAATTCAAACACAAATCTTGCTTCGCTACGATTGCACGACCATCAATTTTCCACTAAACAGAGATTTCACGCCAAAGGCAATAAATTCACGGTGGGACCAACAGATGACGCCTATTAATTTAGCAGAAGCTCCGCTATCTCATATTAGAACACAAAACAAACACTTCTACAAATCTTCTCGCCCCCCTTTCCCTGATCTCGTGTATCAATCGCGGGACAGTAATTGCGTGACATATCGTAGTTCAACGGCACGGAGTTCGTTTTCTCTTGATTATAAAAATAAAAGTTCGCCTTCCATATTCCATGAGAATTTGGAAAGTTGGACAATCGAATGGAACATGATACCGATCGTCCTCGTCTCTCGCTCGCTGCTTAAGGAGGAATGCGAGCTCTCTCGTTCAAGGACGATCCTATCTTTCGACATTTATGCCACGGCGCCGGCTTAAGGACAAATCGGGTCGCCGTTGCAGCGTAACAGAGACAGACGAGTGATCCACGGTCCACGCTGGCACGGCATTCGAGACGTGTTACTTTCATTTCCAACAAGCGGCCATTCAAGGGCCACGCGACTTCTTACGGGCATACGTGGTGCGCGCGTCCTTCCCAGTCTTCCTTTGCGACGTGCCTCACCTTGCCGCGTTACAGCGCAAACGAAAAGGGGAAAAAAAAGGGACAAGATCTCGACCGGAACACCGGAGTCACGTGTGCGCGATTTGCGGTCCGGTTAGTCGAACGGCGCGGAATGGTAGGAGGAAATCGCGCAAGATTTTTCTTCACTCGACCGCGAATAACTTAATAAATAAGATTAAATCTCTCTCTCTCTCTCTCTTTCTCTCCCCGCGAGTGAGATAATAATCTTCAATCTATCCCAGCTGCGTCCCATAAACGCTCGGGCCAGCCCGAGCAATTAAACTCAGCCGGAAGGAATTTTAGAGCGTTTTACCGTTTTCTTTACTCTTCAAATTTAAAAGTCGCGTAGAAGCACCGAATTCCTCAGGCTGGAGCCCTCGGTTTCCCGGTCTCTGAAATCGACAAACACTTGTTGAGTCACGCGCGGAGCGTCCAGCTTATCAAATTCCCCCCCTCGAGTCTGTATTTCTCAAAGTCCCATCTCCTAATTAGCGGTTCATCCGCCGATTTATCGCCCCTTTCGGATCTCTCGCGCGAACAATGTAGTAATAATACGATCGCGACGCTACCAATCCGAAGACGGTGCTCTAGGCTGAAAATAAAGCGGGCGCTCGCCCCGGGGAGTAAAACTGGAGCGGCAGAGAATTGGGCTGTTCCGCGTGGCACACCGGCCGCTGGTCGCGGGCACCGAGTGTCGAACTGTAAATTTAATACGCGATTTTGCCACGGCGATTTTCCTCCGGTTCGCTCGTGGTTTACGGCTCGCGCGCGGCTCGCTCCGAAGTCGCGCTCGAGCCGCAATCGCGCGCGGACGAAGTCACTCGTGCGTCTCCACGTTCTCGGATCGGAAACAACTTTCTCATTGTGATAACTGTATAACGCGCGGCTCGTGGCTCGGCGAGTAATTTGCAATGAAATAACGGAGAACTGGTAGCGCAGGTGATAGTCGCGTACTCCGCGCGGCTTTCGAACACGCGCGCGCGCGCCGTTCCGCGGCAATCACCGGATCGGCTCGTTCTTTTCCTATCCGCGAGATACCCCGGCCATATCTCCGACGCCTGATTACCAGATTCCCGTTTTTTTCCCTCGCGCCGGATATCGCGCGCGCCGATAACGCCGCCGATTGCGAGGCACGATCGCGTATCGCATATTTGAGCTACCGGCAAACTCTGGGGTCTGTTCAGCGAATTTGTACACAGTCTGAGTCACGCTGGAAACGGAACGCTCCAACGTTCTGCCGCGACAGATACGAGGGGGAAAAAAAAGAAGTGCGATTTTTCCCTCGATGACCGAGTCGAAATTTTGACCCTAGGTTGAACCTCTAATTCTAGTATATAGTAGGACCTAAGACAGTAAAAGAGGTCGAACTGCAAGCGCAAAATTTACTCCTACTTTAAAACCGATAGTGCCGGAAATTTCTACTTTTGCCAATTTAGCATTAAAGTGAGTCCTTTTAAGTAGGAGCTGAAGTAAATTTTTAGAATTAAAGATCCAAGGAAGGAGTAAAATAATATAATGCCATTAAAGTAGATTATTGCTGATCTATGTAGATGTATAGATCAGCTGAGTAGCTGTGAACTATCCTTAAAAGTGTCAAAATAGTACCAAAATTTCGACTCGGGTGGCCCTAAATATTTTGAACATCTCGACAAACATTTTATATAAGTTAGATGAACATTCTATATAATTTAGATAAGCTCCAACTTTCTGTATAGGTCAGATAAAAAATTATTTTCATCCTTGAACATCTCTGCTTCGTTTTAGATCACCGAACCCGACACGAGCGAGTTTCAAAGCGATGTTACGATATTACGATGATAGAAATTTAACAAATTTCAGTAGCTTTTTGTCGCCAGTGGTAATGGATCTACGGTTTGGCTGTTTTTTTTACTCTTACGCTCAACGTATTAATTAATTTATCTCGCCGACTGCTTTTTTTACTCTTACACTTAACTTATCAATTAATTAATTTCTCTGATGTATTATCTTACTATTTATCTATCTATCTATTTATCTTTTCCGTCATAATTTCAGATATGACATTATGAATTTGCTGCTACAGACTCATGAACGCATTCTGTTTCGGCCAAAATTAATTTGTTCAGTCAACATTAGGTATTTTTCTCCTTTGTAATACATACTTATGTACACGTAGAGACCAACATGGTTACCATATGTCTAATTAGGGTTGGCACGACCCCAATAAATAGTAATATTTGGGATTATTTCCGTCATCTGGTCCTTCAAATATTTGCACGATTAAAACGCAGAGAGATAATCTTCCGAAACCTGAGAAACCATCGACGTTATAGCGATTTCAACCCTTGATATAAAAAGAATCGATGTTTGGATAGCATCGGGCGAGTGTGCCCCCGCGTATCAATGACGCTCGTAACGCAACGGATGACGTCACCCGTCACTTGTGGGCCGAAATCGATCACGCGATTTGATGGAGAAACAAATTAAATTATATTCCATTATGCCGAATCGACCTTCCACCCCCCACCCCAACTCCACCCCCGCGGGGGTGAGTGCTAACCAATCCTGCGTTCCGTGTCGCAGGTCGATACACGGAAAACGCATCGGCAAGCAAGTGAGTCATCGCGGTGCGAGCTTCTCCAAATAGGTGCGCTGGCGAAAGAACGTAAGGACCGAGTGGACAATCGCAGACTCAACGTTTATCGCAACGGCGATGAAATTCAAGTAGAACCGATTGTCAGAAAGCTTCAGCTTTTGCAACTATTTTTTTTTTCGATTTCTCCTTTCTCTCAGAGTGACACGTCGCAATGCGCGAATGCATTCGTCGTTTTAAACCGAATAATCCCAAGCACACTTGGAAAAAAGTTATCTTGT